TATTTTCTTAGATAAAAAAACGATATTTGGTATGTTGGTATATGACATAAATTAGAATAGATTGACGTATTCAATTGTTTTTGGGCACTTCCTGTTTCACCGGAAATGACTACAACTTTTGATTGACTACAGAGTTGGATATTTATTGGGACTGAACAGTAGAACTGACTTTCAGAATTTCTTTAAAAATTTCAAAAAATACTGATTCTTTCTTCTTTATTCATTTTTGAATCCGTTTGCTTAATCCGCAAGCATATATCTGCTATTCCCGAAAGGCCATCTCACTTAGGAATGCGGAGCACGATCTTTATCTGCCAACCCCAAGCTCAGAACTAGTTAAAGGTTCAATACTGTACAATGCCAAAAAAATGTACAATCATCTGCCTTTGAATATCAATAAGTCGCTTTCATTCTTTCCCGCATTTCGCAAAGCTCTGAAATCATACTTACTGGAGAGAGCCTTATATGCGGTAAACGACTTTTTTGTTGATGTTTAATCATGAACAATTTTGAATTTTAAAATTTTGATCATCTCACACACTGGTCAAAGGTCAACTATTCCTAAAGATAAAACACCTCCAATGGAAAGTCGGGTTTAGATTTTATGTAAAGACAGAAATATGTTGGACAAACTAGAAGATCAATATTAACTAGATTTAAAGAACATATGGCTCAGATAAGATATAGTAAACCCTGATAAATCTTGCGTTGCTCAACATATTGTTGATAAAGATCATTATACAGGGTGATCCTTAAATAGGTAAGTGCAAATATTTTCAGGGCTGGTAGATTTCGATAAAAGAAACATATATTTTCTCTTTACCATTTTTCAGATAAGTCCAAAATAACCCATTTATTTGAGTTTGAAAATTTAAAAAAAAACATTAAAAATTTTTTTTGAAAAAATTTTGAGAGCCACCGGCTTTTTTCTGTATTTGCATCCCTTTCAGTGTCGTAATGCACCCTGTATAAACGCTCAATTTCTAGATATTAATTTAGTTTTAATCATATGCTGATAAAGCTAACATTGTTAGTGAAACGCGAGTCCAATGCAAAAATAAAGCTTTGGTGTATTCTGGTGAATTACTGTTTAATTTTGCTGCAAGTGCTGAATAACGTCTTTAAATAAATCTATTAATTTTTAATGGTTAAACATTTATTGTAGGTCAATTCAGTAGTTGATTTCGTAAAATATAACAAGAACTTAAATTTGACAGAAGATACTCAAAACGGTTACAAAGAAATTCTTCATAATTTTTTGGACAGTAAAAATTATCAAAGAAGAGTACGTTATGAGTTAAAGGTTCTTTACAGAAGACAAATATTGATAACACAGTAACTTGAAAAAATATCTTTTCTATTGTCGTTGACAATGTATTTGGCAATATTTTTTAGATATACAAATACAATTTCGATGTCTTTAATTACAAGAATTACAGCTGGTGGTATAATGGTTATGGGTCTTTCTACGGTACCAATTATAGCAGCATGTTTCAATACGATTAAAAGTGTAAGTAAAGATTTTATATTTTGATTCCTCCCAGCATTTAATTTTATTCTAGTTTAGTAATTGGAACTATTCGTATATTTTATACTGAATTTACCATCACTAGATTTGACCTAGATGTAGATAATATACTTGTCTTATTTACTGATGACCGGTCTTGCACAAAAAGTAAAGCCAAACTAGCGTTAAATTTACATGACTAGGACCAAGACCGACTAGTACAAGACTGAGGGCAAGATCCAGCATGGAAGACTTTTGCGTTTTTTGCGGTCTTGTAATTTTTTAGTAAGTAATTTTTTGAGAAGTTATAAATTTCTGTAATGATTTATCACAGAACTTCAATGTGCTGATGACTGCTCTCTAGTTGCAAAAACAGCTAAAGTATGCGTAAACATAAAAAAGAACGACGCAAATTCCTAACTAAGGGTGCCAATGTCAAATGGATAGGGCTCAGGGATATGGATGCATACCAGGAACAGATTATGAAAGACCTGTTGGTTAAAAATACGTTGGAAGAATATGATATAGACAAAATTAACGGAAATTTCGTCCATGGACTAAAAAATGCCCAAGAACAGCATTGCAAGAGGACAAGAGGAGAGTAAAAGGCCCAGAAAAGTTCAGTACAGGAACTAGAAATATAATGACAAGACGCCGAGAAATTTGAGGAAACTTAAAGAGCTATCTAACAGAAATCAGAAAAGGCCTACTACAACATAACACGCGTGAAATACAGGCAGCGATTGAAGCGAATAAAGGCCTAAAAATCTTAAGAAAAAATATTTTACACCGTGCTGTATAAATGTAAAATCAAATCACTCTGTTTAGTATTAAACGACATTATGGGGCGTAGACATCTTAACAGAGAGGAAATGCTAAGGGCCATGGGTATGCTCGACTGGAATGCGCCAAATCGACCTAGCTAGAGCATTAAATACAACGCAAAGTGTAATATCGCGATTAAGTGGTGATGTTGCTGAAAGGCACACAGGGCGACATCGCATTACTACCCCTCAGCAAGATCATTTTTTACAATTAAATGCTCGACACCGACCGACTCTTACAGTACCAGAGCTTAGTTTAATTTTCCAGGAAACACATAATGTAACCGTTAGTCCTGACACTGTTTGCAATAGATTAAGAGAGGTCAACTTAAGAAGCAGACGCCCCTGGAGAGCTCAACCCTTAACGAGAGGAAATCGAGAGGTACGATATTTGTGGGCTCAAGATCATGTTCAGTGGTCGAATGAACAATGGGCCAATGTTCTCTTCACGGATGAGTCACGCTTTGGAATTCATCCGGATTCGAGAAGGCTTAGGGTATGGAGAGAACCGGGAAATCTTATTCGGTTGGATCATGTTCAGGAAGTGCACCCTTATCAAGGTGGAACAGTTATGGTCTGGGGAGGAGTCCAGTTAGGCCGAAAAACCGATCTCGTTTTTCTTGAAAGGTTTCTAACAGAAATCACATATCGTAATTCAATTCTTGAGCCTGTCGTGTTACCATATGCCAATGATTTTGGGAGAAACTTCACTCTCATGAATGACAATGCACGGCCTCATCCAGCCAGAGTGATAAGTGAGTTTATCAATGCTCATCAATTAAACATCTTACCCTGGCCGGCACAATCTCCTGACCTCAACCCCATCGATCACGTATGGGACGCGGTCCAAAGACGAATTTTGAGAATGGGTATGCCTCGTGAAACTCGTAGGGATCTGGTTCAGGCCGTGAATGCAGCGTGGCAGGCTGTACCTCAAGAAGAGATCGACAACCTGATCAGGAGCATGGAGAGACGATGTAGGGCTGTAATGAACAGTAGAGGAGGCTATACCCTTTATTAAGTAAAAATGGTTTTATCTTTTTTTTTAATTCACAGTTTAGAATAAAAAAAATGTGTGTATTTTTTCCTAGGATCCTCATAGAGAACATCGTAGAAAACTCACCCTGTATATCTTGCAGTTTCTTAGCAGACTCTTCACAGAGCACCTGTTTCGAGGAACAACTCCAGAGACGTGGCACGGTGACCGATGTTGTGACCAGTATAAATAATTTGAAATGGACTTGGGCCGGTCACATGGCAAGAATGTTGGATGGATGATGGACAAAGAAATCGGCGAAGGGAGACCATGAGACGAGGCGCATCTAAATCGAGGACGGCCACAAACAGAGACAAATTGAATACAAGCAACTCAAGATTGAAATACTTGGGCACTGCTGCGGGAGGCCTATATTCACCAGTGGGCAAGATAGAAGGCTGGATGATGATGATATAATTTTGTAGATTTAGTTAAGGAGATCATATTACTATTGTTAGATTTCAAAACCCTGGGGATCTTGGACTGGGTCATACATCACAGGAGAGGATAAATCGCCCAGGCTATACCAGCGTTGCCAAATCACAAGAAATTTTTTTGGTGCCATAGATAAAATGTTCCATGTTGGTATTCCAATTTCCAACGTATTCTTGGTTTTTGTGTTGACGTTAGGTCGATTGTTCTTCTCTGGTTAGTGGTTAGGTTATAATTGTTTTATTCAAAGTGTGTCTGTTTTAAAACAAGAAACAAAATGTCTGTGATGTGCTTTATATGTGATAAAATGTTCAGTACACAGTCATCTTATAATAGACATGTACGAGAAGTGCATAGGGAAAATGAGGAACCTGTATCTTATTCAACTCAAGACGGAAAAGGAACTAATTTAAGTAATTGCTGCCTTGAACCAGGGTGCAATTGTGCATTTAAAACAATTAAGGACTTGGTGAAACACCTGCAAAATGTCCATCTAATAAATTTTGAAACTGAATGTCTGGCCATGGATAATATAAATGGACTTTGTAAAGCTATACTTGCTATATATAAATTATACAAATAATTCTACTATATGTTTAATTTTGTATAATACTGTAGCTACTCGTCTTATTTTTCAGAGTTTAATAATTGAAATCCAGTACATTTTTTGAAGACAATACAGTTTTGAACGGGCTGTGCGATATAAACAAGGATCTTACTATTATTTGAGGTTAGAAAGTATTTAAATAATATAAAACATAATCAAAATCATTTTTCATCATAAATTATAGAGGTACTTACGTGTTTTGATATTATTATCAGGAAATAATACGTTTAGTTAAATAGGTACGCTGCCAGGCAAGTTCTATCGGCGGGTCTTTGCAAAAGTTGAAATCTAAAAATACAAAAATACGTTTACATCTTAGTTGTATTTACGAATAAAGTATTTGTGTGTAATTTCTGACTTACTAGTTAACTGAATAATCGCATTAAATACATCCAAATGGTAATTTAATATTGTAAAAAAGCAAAATTGTTTTAAATCACTTGCCAGGACAGCCCGGCCAGCTTCATTGTTGGCAAAATGGCCGCGGTATCATGATTTAAGCAATATGAGTGACAAAGAAAGCCAATGCCTGGCAGATGTTGCTTTCTTTGTCGTTGGTCCTGGCACGTTTAAATTTGACTGTTGCCTGTTTTCCCAACGAGAGGATAAATCGCCCAGGCTATACCAGCGTTGCCAAATCACAAGAAATTTTTTTGGTGCCATAGATAAAATGTTCCATGTTGGTATTCCAATTTCCAACGTATTCTTGGTTTTTGTGTTGACGTTAGGTCGATTGTTCTTCTCTGGTTAGGTTATAATTGTTTTATTCAAAGTGTGTCTGTTTTAAAACAAGAAACAAAATGTCTGTGATGTGCTTTATATGTGATAAAATGTTCAGTACACAGTCATCTTATAATAGACATGTACGAGAAGTGCATAGGGAAAATGAGGAACCTGTATCTTATTCAACTCAAGACGGAAAAGGAACTAATTTAAGTAATTGCTGCCTTGAACCAGGGTGCAATTGTGCATTTAAAACAATTAAGGACTTGGTGAAACACCTGCAAAATGTCCATCTAATAAATTTTGAAACTGAATGTCTGGCCATGGATAATATAAATGGTTTGTAAACTATACTTGCTATATATAAATTATACAATAATTTACTATATGTTTAATTTTGTATAATACTGTAGCTACCTGTCTTATTTTCAGAGTTTAATAATTGGAAATCCAGTATAGAATTAGAGAATAATTGTTATTACGTCTGGAAGAGTAGAAATTGTAGTACTATTAGAGAAATAGTATATTACAAGTGTAATAGAAGTAAAACAAGTAAGCAAATTAATTATTCTTAGGAATGCATGGGCTCTGATAATTTTCAAATATTTAGTTCCGTATTAGGTCTTTTTTAATGAGAGGCATAGAGTTAATATTTAATATTGGTGAATTTTCTAGTTTTTAAAGACTAATATACCTATAATGTATATGCCAAATATACAAGCATTTTCATATTGATATATTTAATAAAGGGATTAATGTATGTCAAAGAAAATGTTTATTTTCTTACTATCTGGTTTTTGTTTAAGGCTATACTTTGAAAGAAAATGACCAAAGAACAAAATTGGTGAAAAGTCAAGGATCTTGCAAGATGAATAATGCTTGTACTAGTGAAATAAAGCTTATAAAAGAAAATAATGCAATTAAAGTAGAGTGGCAAAAAGTTCATTATGGCCATACAGTAGAAATACAACATATTAGATTACCAACGAGAGAAAAGCAAAAAATTGCAACAAAGCTGTTTAATGGTGTGCCGCCTAATAGGTAAGAGTATTACTATTAACTGTTACTTTAAAAAAATGAATGAGAAGGAGAATGAAATCAATAATTAATGGTAAACAAATAATTATTTATTATTTTGTCTGTAGCCAGATAATTGAACTTGATTAACACTTTCATTTTCGTTTACAGAATTTTGGAATCCACACGAGACAACATTGGACACCAATTAAAACGAGTTGACATGTTAACATCAAGAGATATATCTAATATAAAAGTTTCTTATGGTGTAGAATTAAAAGATGGAAGAAGAGACTCCAATGATGCTTTCTCTGTTGCTTTATGGGTTCAGGAATGTAAGCAACTTAAAGAAAATCCAGTTTTATTTTACAAGGAGCAAGGAAAAGAAGATGATATTTTAAAAGAAGATGATTTTTGCTTAATTATAATGAACGCATTTCAAAGGCAAATGATTAAACAATTTTCCAAAATCATTACCATTGATAGTACCCATGGCCTTAATGGGTATGATTTTGAAATGACCACTATTATGATAATTGATGAATTTCATCATGGTTTCCCAGTGGCAGAAATGTTCACGAATAGAAAAGATACCTTAGTACAACGCATCTTCTTTTCAGCAATTAAGGACGTAGTAGGTGTGTAAAAAATTAAACAAAGCCTCTATCTAAATATCATTTAGATAGAGAGATTTTTTTCTATGTATACTCAGTTGATAAATATTATTTTATTTCTGCTTTAGTGATATAGACTGTAATAATGCTATTTTATTTCAGGTGTAATTCATTGTACATATTTCATGTCCGATATGGCTGAAGTGTTTTTTAATGCTTGGTTCTACATAATGGGTCCACCATATCCGCAACACTTATACTGTTCTTGGCATGTAGACAGAGCATGGCAAAGTAATTTAAATAAAATTTATAATAAAGAAAAAAGAGCAGATATTTATAAAATTTTAAAAGTATTGCAGCAAGATACTAGTGAATCAGACTTTAATCCAGCTCTTGAAAGTGCCTTAACTCATATGTGCAGTAATAATGATACAAAACATTTTGGAGAGTATTTCGCTAATACATATGGCCATAATTTTAAAAAATGGGCTTACTGTTTCCGAAAGGATGCTCATATTAACACAAACATGCATTTAGAATCTATGCATAAAGTAATAAAATACTTTTATTTAAAACGTAAAACTGTGAAACGTCTTGATAAAGGTCTAAATGTGGTACTAAAGTTCATACGAGATAAATGCGTAGAGAGAATAATTAGATTAAGTAAAGGTGAACATACACAGAAGACAAAATTATTATCCAAAAGTCATCAGAAAAGCCTTACAAAAAGCGATGAATACAATATTATTACATTAAAGAATAAACGGAGCTGGAATATTTTTAAAAATGGAGATATATCATATACTGTTCAACAAATAATGGATGTAAAATGCTGTGAAGAAATATGCTTGTTTTGTGAAGTATGCAACCACATGTTTTGTTGTAACTGTATGTATTTTAAGGAAAGCAGAAATATGTGCAAACACATTCACATGACAGCCTCATACATATGTAAAAAAGCAAATGAAAATGCTAATGTTTCTGATAAGAATATTTTAATATCAGAAACCTTAACAGCTCTTTCACAAACCCAACCATCAAATAGTTCAGAATCCAATATACATAAAATAAAAATGATGATAGTCCAATTGGAAGATTTAGATTTTACTAAACTTGACGATGCCATTATAGGTAAAATCTATAATCATTTGTCAATTATTAATAAAATTACTAACTGTTCAGAGGTTTCAAATTTACAAACCAAAAAGTTTAATGAAAGAAGTGTTTCCTTTAAGAGGTATATCGAGCCTCAAATAAGGTTTACATCTACCAAAAAGAGGCGTAGTGAAAAAAGAACTTTTGTTCGGGCATCACCAGATGAGACCAAAATAATTAAAGCCAATTTACTAATACACCCAAAGAAAATGAATGTACCCAATACAAATTATTTGTAAATCAGCCTTATCATTATCATTAAATGATCATCAGTATTTAACGTAATTTTATTTTTCTAATCTAATGTAATTAATTATCGCTTACCGCCATAGGCATTCCATGTCAATCTTAAAATTTACATGTGCAAAATTAAACGCATATATACGTTTTCATGTATTTTTTATAGTCTTATTTACTTATTTTTTAACATTAATTTTTAATAATATATTTATAGATTTACTTTATTGGTTTTATAGATATACCTATAATATGTTTTATTATTATTTCTTAATTAATTGTAAATACCTATAATATGTTTTATTATTATTTCTTAATTTATTACTCTCGTGTAATAAAATTACTTCTTTAAGGTTTCAATTTTTGTGAAAATAAATATTTTAAATACCTACAAAATGGAACCAAAAATATAATAAAAACCCCTTCCGAATAATTAAGTGGTAATAATAGATAATAAAGGAATTTTGAATTTTCCGCCAAGTATTAACGACATAAAGTGGACAATTTGGCAACGTTGGTATCACCTGGGCGATTTATCCTCTCGTCTGGAATATGGCGCCCAACTTGATTAGACCTTCTGCGCATGTTGACGCTCATTCTCTATCCCTTCTATTTCTCTGCTCCTACGTAATACCGCATAAAGAAGAAAACGAACAGGGAATTAATCAAAGACACCTTTTAATGTCTTTGGTTTTGTTCTTTTTAATGTTTTAATGTTTTGTAATTTTGATTCTTGGGTCTGACCCGTTCCTCCATCAGCTCTTCTAGGTCTGTCTCTGTATCCGAAAATTCGGACGCCTCAGATTCTTCGGAAGATTCAAAATCGCTCATTTCTTTTCTTAATTTTTTGAAGAAAAAAACACTAAATAAAAACTACACACGTTTTGTATGTTAAGTTTACCAATATTATTGACGTCGGGTCGCAATACGCATGCGCCGGACACTTTACTTGCAAAAGATCCGCGAACAGGTCTGACCAGGGGGGTGACAGTGAAATAGGAAAATTGGAAACAGTCATTAGTGTCATTCCTGTCATTCTCCTCACGACAAGTATGGCCGCCTAGACAAGGACAGCATTGTTTTTGTCTAACTATTGTCTAACTTCACAGTTTAGAATTGACAGATTTCAGTTTCAGAGACAACTTCAGATTTGTTCTAGAACAAATTCGAAAATATTCGACGCCATTTTAATTCATTCCGTTTAGTTTCGTTTTGGAAGTTCAATTTAATATTTCGGCTGAAATTTATAAATATAATGGTAATAAAGTATATAAAATATATATTACATGAAGAATCCTGGAGAAAACGACGTTTCTGCAGTAGTAGGTATGTCCCATGTATATGAAAAATAGGTAGTAAATAAACACTGTTTTTACATTTTTAGATGCAAGAAAAGGGTATTATAATATCTTTGATCGGCGATTTTTCTGAAAATGGAAGCAATTTACAGCAAGGTAAGATCATTGTTAACTATAGCCAACATTAGTTATCTCCAGTATGTGCGATTTATTGTCAATAATGCAATAAATCGGACTGATAATCTGATTATGTTATCCGACTAAAAAGTCTCTTTTGCTTCTTTTTTGATTTATAAGCCAGGTCTCTTTGGGAATAATGGACGCTTTTTTAAACAGTATATTTATATTTTATACCTATTGATATTTTTACATTGTTAATTTTAGTATGAAAAAATTTGTTTTTCTGTTTTCAGGGTTTTGTATAAGGCTCCCGTTTTCATGTTCCTGTGTCCGTTTTCTGTCCTTGAAGTCTGCGAATACGTGTGTTTATTTACAAATTACTGTAAGTCATGCTTATACCTTAACTAATTTACGTTAAAAGTGCATATAATTAACTAATTGGTATTGAAACAATACAATCCCTCTATATTTTTATATTTGTTTAGTCACGTTGTTCCATATTTCAAATAAATATATGTGAATAAATAATTTTTGGTTTTATTTATGAAAAGTAAAAATACAAAATACATTTGAACTGAAAGAGGACCCGCCATTGAATAACCGGAAACGGAAATGAAAATTAAGCCATCATGTCCTTATCATGTCAACCTGTCAATTGGAAAATTAGTTCTCCAGACGACAACGAAGGCTTTCGGTGGCGTATCGTGTTTCCACGATTTAACACAGAGTTGACACTTCTTTCTAGTTAATTATTTTATGGGTCTGACTGTCAGCTAACAATCAGAATTTTCTGTGCGAACAGCGTACTGTTGGTTGGAAACCAATCAAAAATTTCTGTGCGAACGCGTTTTACATCATTGCGCATGATTATCTGTTGGAAATATGTTTCTTACAGCTGTGAGAACAAACCTATGATTGCGCCGCATTCTAGTAGACGCAAGGTCGCCGGTTCGATTCCGGCCTCGGACATGGGTGTTAAATGTGTGTGTGTGAGTCTGTATTTGTCCAATTTTAAACGCTAATTAAATAATAAGAAATAAGCTGGCTGAATGTCGTAATAGACAAGTGGCCAAAAATAGGGAAAAAAAAAACATAGATTATTGGATGAGGCCCACTTTGTTTACACCGAATCCGAACCGCGGTCCTCGGCCATATCATGTTCGATCCAAATCGACTACACCGAGATATCTGATCTCTTCCCGCCTCAAACCGGCGTGGCGAGAATGAACAACGTGTCAATAGATTTATACACTCTTGTCATGGAACAACAGCACGACCCAAGGAGCACGACCAAGCAGTACGACTCATTGAGTATGACGGAGTTTCCAACCAATGACAATGACTAACCAGGACCCAGACTGTAGTCTTTGCCCAAGTCTTTGCCCAGACGGTCATCCGCCCATCCCAGAGATATGATCCACTAGTATTGCTCATAAAATAATTAACTAGAAAGAAGTTTCAACTCTGTGTTAAATCGTGGAAGGTATTGCTTTACGTCGCTAGTCGCTAAACTTTAGTGATCTAACAGGAGGTGTTTTGACGTTGCCAATTATCATATCAATCGCGGTATTTTTTTCAAGAGACACAAAGAGGAAGGCTGGGGATCGCGGTTCGAATTTCGTATATACAAAGTAGGTCCCGTCCAGTTTAGCCCTGGCAGCAAAAAAAAGATGTAAATTTCTTCTTCTTGATTGGTTTTACGGTCTAAGCTCCCAGGACTATACGGCCGAAGCGGTAACTTGACATTTACTTTTTTAGTGACAAAAATGTCACAGAGGATAACCTTAACCTTACTTTTTATTTTCCAAAATTTGTGACCTCAACCTCAATTTAAACTTTCATTTTTCTTTTGCGATATAAATATTCTATAACTTGACGATTGCAACAATCTTTAGACAACGTAGGAAATATTTTGACCCCGAAATTAAAACATATTTAAGCTTTTTATGTTAAGTAGGTACTCGTAATAATCTTACATAGTGATACACGGTCCAGTTTAAAAATAATTTGTACTCAACATTAATTACCTACATTGTGTATTATTTTTATTTATTGCTGATAAAAACCATTTACAATGGAATAAGGTGACAGTGGTAAATTACATATATTAAATTGAGATAAAGGAGAGTTCATATCTTATATCCTAATAAAAATGGCACTGAATTACATTAGGGTTGCCCGTATATTTAGGGAAGTTTTTAGAGTTAATACATGTAGTAAATTACCCCGCAGAATCTTTTCGGTTGGATTACCAGCACTTAACAAAAAAGAGTGAGTAGCTACATATATTTTTATTAATTTACAATTGACATTGTTTATTATATTTAAGTTTTCAGGATTGAAATTACATTTTTAAAGGCCAATGGCGATCAAATAAATACCAAAGGAAAAATAGGAGATTCACTTCTAGATGTTGTAGTTAATAACAATTTAGATTTAGATGGATTCGGAGCTTGTGAGGGTAAATTTTAATGGTAGAAATTAAATTTAAAAATTAATTTACTTGCAATTTAAGGAACTTTAACATGTTCAACATGCCATTTGATATTTGGAAAAGAAACGTATGATCAACTACCAAATAAGCCATCTGAGGAAGAACTTGATATGCTTGATTTAGCCTATGACCTTTCAGACACCTCTCGATTGGGTTGTCAAATTATATTAACAGAGTCTATGGATGGTTTGAAAGTAACTGTACCAGCTACTATAAATGACGCTAGAAGCTGATTAGATAATTTTTTAAATTTATTTAAATGAAACTATTAATCATATATATTTTTATATCTAATGAATAGGTTGTTATCTTCAATACTGAACATTCTTTACATTTAAAAAAAAACTGCTGTTCTAAAATTGTTGAACAGAAATTTATAAGTAACTTGTAAAATATATATGTATCTATAGAGAAATGAAGTTTATACAAAGAATTTATAGCATTTAATTATACATTAGTAATCTTGATGCTCAATAAATAGTTAAGCATTTGGATATAATTTTACTTGAACATAAATTATTGTTTTAGAGAAACTTGCCAAGCCGACAAGCAATTGTTTATTCCATACATCTGAAGAATTTAAATTTTTACATTTAAAATATATAGGTACGTTGAATAATGTATATCCAAAAGGCCACAATGGCTATCTGAAACATTTTAATTCTGTTTCTAAGAATTAGCACCAGAGATTAGCACATTTATTCATTGTAAATCCGCCAAGTAGAGTACAGCCACACCCATTTCTCAAAACAACTCACGGCACTTGTCACCCCCTGTAACTTTGTTGTGGATAAATCAAGAACCTTAAATTTTGTTATCAGGAGGATATTGACAGCTGTCCGAAATTAATTTGAATAATTTAGATTGATAAAATACTTTATTCATAATCTAAGTACTAGCGTTTTCGAGAAAGTATTTTAAGAAAGCTGGCTCTTTGATATATATCTTTTACTATGCTCTCTGGAACAGCATACGAACCACCTGGCTGCCGATACCTGTTGCGTTCAGTACTGCGTATTGGAAGATCATATATTTTTTTTATTTAGTCCGTCAAATTCTCGTATTCAATATAAATCGATCAAGTCTCCATAGCGCGGCGCGCAGAGGTTCCGCCTATGAAGTGAGGAGTCCGAGTTCGAGACCGGCTCGGGGTCATTTCCATAACGATTTCACTGTTTTACTTATAGTCTAAGAGTTTTCGAGAGAATTTTAAGAAAGCTGTTTTTTTAATATATCTTTTGCTATGCTCTTCTGAACAGAGTGCGGACCGTATGGCCACCGCAGACACGGCATAATGCTATGTTGAGCTTGACAAAAATCCAGATTAATTTTTTTGTATGTTTATTCATACATTGTTTTTCTTATTACATTTGTAGGGCTAATTTTAAATATAAATTTCTCCACTGAACTATAGTGCAAGCGTTACCGAAAATTGATCAGTTCGTATATTTCGTGAAGCGCAAAAGTGTTCTTTACACCCAGCCATATAATTTTTTACTACTGTCATTAATATATGATAAAAACCTTGTAATAAACTTAAAAATGCATAATTTAGAATATTTGTCTTCTTAAAACTAAAAAAATCCTTTCTTGATATTACAGGACTGGTATAGAAATCAATATATCCACAAATCCCTGACAATAAAGGGCTATTTCAAAAAAGGACAGCTTTGGAAAAGCTGATTTTTTTATACCTGTGTCTACATATACAGTGCTCTGGCAACTGTTACTCTTGGGTCGGTAATTACATGTGTAGAAGTAAATCGTATAGGTATCTTATTAAGTCGGAGCGAGAAAAATGCGACGGTGTGCTGTTGCGGCGTTGCCGGTACGCCTTTCCCTATCAGGTAAAGTAAAATTACGATCGCAAACCGCTTATTTTTAAAAGACTTTTTTTTTCGAAAAGATAACTAGATAAAATCATTAGATATGTTTTTGAGCATCTGAAATGGAATTATAAGGATATCGTTAGGGTGTCCATTTTTTTATAACGAGAAAATGTCAGTAATCGCGATAATTTAAAAACTCTGAAAAAAACACATAACACGCTATAACCTAAGAACTTAAGAACCACTTTAGATATTGAAACTTTTTTTTATTTTGATGATCGGATCTTTGACAATATGTTAAAATAAGAAAAATTCGATAAGGTTTTTTTTTTCCATTCAAAAATTTTACAGAACCCATCTATTTACTTTTAGTGCATAGCAATTTTCAGCAATCGTGTAGCTTTTTATTTATAAAGATTTTCACATACTGTCTGCAAAGAAAATATAGCAGAAATATTAAGAAAGTTTTTGAAAAACTACAATCAATTATTTCTAAGCGCGTTCTAATAGCGCGACCACTGTCGAACACCAACTCAGTTCCGCTTAATTTTACCAAAAATGCAAATGTTTCTACTTTCACTTACAATTTTCAAGCTATAGGGAAAATTACAACGACTCGTTAGTAAATAAACAAATAAAGTATTACGAGATGTAATGAAATCGTGAAGCTGAACGCATGATGTACACCTCTCCCTAGAACGTTAAGTACTGACAGAGGTACTGATTGGGTCGATCGCTCGACTGCGGCAAATCTGCCCCTTCCACGTCTCTTAGCAATGTGCACAGTTTCTCGGATTATTTCATACCTTTGGCAACGTATTTACTGTTCTCTTTGTTCAGTACATTATAAACGCATTGTACTCTTCTTACATACGGAAATCTCGACCCAAGACTAACCTTTGCCAGCCCCTAGTATTAATAATTTTAATTTTATTAAATTAAAAGCGGAACTCCGTAGAACGCATTAACTCATTATGAAAACAAAATTATAAAAAAATAAACTCAAAATAGTGTGTTTAAAATATATTGTACCTACATTCAAAACAGTTCAAATTTATTATATTGATGTTATTTAATTGTGCTACATGTCTGTAGCTATATTATCCAAAATGATAATTAATTTTCAAATCGCTGTGCTGGGTGTAAATGACACTCTTTTGCGCTCCATGTTTATGCAAGGCTCTTCCCAGAAAGTGCGAACTCCATCAACTTTCGTTAGCGCTTGCACCGTTATAGCTGCTCGGAAAAAAATATAATATTCAAAATTAGGTACACAGATTTTATAAGAATGACATTGAGTGGATGAACATATGATAAAGTAATTTCGATTTTTGTCAAGATAAACATAGCATTTTGCCGTGTGTGCGCCGGTAGACGTTGCGTTTACTATTGCGCATCCCCATATCTGTATTCAACATCTGTTCACTACTGCGCATCACAAATTTTCCCTGTATTTAAGAAACTAAGGAGGCTAGGATAAACCTCTGTAGCATATACAGGGTGGTCCGAACTGTATTCCGGAAACTTCGGCAGCATATTCTGCAGATAAAAATAACTAAAAAAGTTTGTATAAGTAAGTGTATGTCCTAAAGTGCTTAGTTTCAGAGATACAGGGTGAAGAAGTTTCATTTTTATTTCGATTTTTTCCAAGTAATTTCTGAAGTAACGTCAATATTTCGATGAAAATTGGTGTCCAGAAGTTTTTTGACATTAGAAATTTGATTTTGATGTCAATATGACTCCTACTGGTAGAGTGCGCCACCTACATATGTTTTAACTGTTTTGAAGCGTAATATTTTTTTGTCCGTACCCGTATAAAACTACAGAGGAAAAAATATAAATCTCTGCGACTTTTTACGCAAAAAATGTATCTTTGTAAAAATCGCTACAAGCAACCGTTCTCAAGATATTTAGAATGGAAATAATCAATACATGTCATTATTGACGAAAAATAAACACGTTGAGTACATAGGTTGAGTAGATAGTTACTTCACTGAAATAATAAATTTGGGAAACTTTTATTTTTTTAAATTAATCATAAATTTTTCTGCAAAAAAATGACGATAAAACAGTTCCTGTTGAACTTTTGGCACAAAAACTTTCAAATTTATGATCTCAGCCTAACAACTATTTAGTCAACATGTTTAATTTATGTCAATGATAACAGGTATTGTTAATTTCGATTCCAAATATTTGGAAAACCAATACTCCTAGCGATTCTTACCAAGAGACATTTTAAACGTAAAAAACGTCGTAAATGTATATTTTTTACTCAGTAGTTTTATACAGGTACGGACGAAAATTATTACTCTTCAAACCAGTTAAAAAATATGTAGGTGGCGCCCTCTACTAGTAGGAGTCATATTGACATCAAAATCAAATTTCTCATGTCAAAAAACTCCCAAACACCAAATTTCATCCAAATATTGACGTCGCTGCAGAAATTATTTGGAAAAAACCGAAATAAAAATGAAATTTCTACAACCTGTATATCTGAAACTAGGCATTTTAGGACATACATTTATACGGACTTTTTTACTTATTTTGATCTGCAGAATATGCTTCCGAAGTTTCCGGAATACAGTTCGGACCACCCTGTGTATCATAAAAAAGTGAAACGTGAAAATCATAAAACAAAAAATGGGATGCCCTGTACAGATGTGATGCGCAGTAGTGAACTGCAGTAGTCTACTGGCCACCAGACGGCCCGCGCGTTGGCCAGGAGAGCATAGCAAAAGATGTATTAAAGAACCAGCTGTCTTAAAATTGTCGTTTTCCCAACGGTGGTAGATCCTGTACTATTATATTTTTATTAACGTTAGATTAATTTTCCCAAAAATGTGTCAAAACGTCCGTTATCGTACGATCTTTCTCCGATGTCGTGCTGGAGTAAAAAAATTACCTGATAAAAAGTGGCGCGAAAACGCTATAACCAATCAGAGCGCTGTTGGACCATCGCACAGTGGTCTAGATGTAAAAATTACGGGGACATTAGGTGACAAGTTTGTCTTCACTGAAGGTTGATAGTATGTATAATTTTATAAATAGAATAAAGTCCCATCTTACTTGTATATCAGAGTTTTGTATTTGGTGGATCGGAATCCGATAAAATTGAGAACAAAGTAAACAAAAACATAAATGTTCCTTTATATAGAATTTGTTCTCGAGTATCTTGAAGTTCGTTTTGGTAGTTGTGTTGAGATTAGAATATCGTGGTTTGTTTTTTAATTCAGACATGTCTGCTCATTTGTTAGGTAAGTTTAGTTACTTATTTCGAAACACGAATTTTGATATAATTAGTTGTCAAAGAAGTATTTACAATTTTATTAAAGTTTAAAGAATGGAAGGCTCAGAAAAAAAAAGACCCTTTTCTTCACCGTCAAACTAAATTTATTTTAAAGCTAGTATATCTACCTATCGTATAACAATATACTGAGCTGCAGATAGCTGCAGTCTTGTCAAATTTTTATTTTTTTCCTATTATGCACAGTTTCGGGCGTGAGTCAAAAACACTTATTTGAGCTTTTGAATGAAAATGGCTGGATGGGAAGTGCCACTTCTTTAGTTGTGAGAAAAAAAATGGAAGACTTTGTCAAACAACGCATCCCTACTGCTGACGATGATGACCTAACCAACAAAATATCATGGTTTTCAACTCAAATTGCTTTACGTTGGAAAAGGTGCTACCGAAATAAGAAAGACTTTTTAAAGAAACATGTAATTTGGCTTAACGAATATGTTTATAAATCTAAGTGCCAAAGCACCTTTCAGCAACATGCAAAAACGCCTTCGCGAAAGAACTCAAGAGAATTTAGTGCTGTTAGTACTAGAACTAAGAGAAGACTTACACAAGAATTGGTTTTTCAAGGTAGTCCTGCTGAACTTGCGTTTGCTACTCAGACTGGATATACAAAAAAAGGAAAGAAAAATGTTGCTTTTGCCATCATAAAAGCTACGATTTCTAGTCCGGAAGAGTTGGCAAAAATAAAAAATTTAGAAAGGTTAAACAACGAGATGCGACCATTTTCTCCAGAGGAAGTCTTGATAAAGATAACATTTTGTAGACCCGTAAATACATTCAGTTAAAATACCCAAGTAACACAATATCATTATCAACATTGTTTAAAGTTGTAATATTCACTTGTAAATTCAACAAATAAAATGAAAAAATACCATCTTGTAATATCCTGACGCAATGAAACAAATTAATATTTTAGGTACTGTAAATGGTATAGAGCTTCAAAAATAAAAATGGCTGTAACTTTTGATACACATGGTATAAACCATTCGCCCCTATATCAAAATGCTGGAAAAAGTACCAGGAATTGAAATCTTAAAAAATATATAGGGTGTTTTCTTTAAAAAAACTGAAGTTTGGTCTTTAGCGCTTTTCTGACACACCCCGTATAATTAAAAATATTTTAACAAGAAGCAATTCATTATTACTTATAACTTTTGTATTAGCATTATTTTAAAATTCTAAATAGCAAACGAGATACTAGACTTTATCGCACTAATTGAACACCTTGTATATAAAATAGGAAGGTAAAAATGTAAAAAATCTTTTTGATGAGTGTAATTTTACATAAAAACATTATACATAACAATTATTTCGGGCAACGGCCCAGCTACGTCGAAACACCGGTTCCCATTAGAACACCGAAGTTAAGCGACGTAAGGCGATGCTAGTGGATGGACGGGTGACCGGTTCGAAACTTTGCATCGTGCTGTTGTCCAAAAACGGAAAAGTGTAAAATCTATTGATACACACTGCTCATTCACGCCGGTTCAAGGCCGGATGAGATCGGATATCTCGTGAGTAAGAGTTAATTTAGACACTTCCTAAGTCGGTAGGCCATTGACCATGATATGGCCGAGGACCGCGGTTCGGATTCCGCGTAAACAAGTAGGTCCCGTCCAGTTTAGCCATTGCAGCAGAAAGGAGACGTTAACTTGAACCTCACAACAATTATTTCCGTTATTTTAAAAACAAAATTGAGTGTCCCCGTAATTTTTCCATTTAGACCACTGTGCATCGTATCAACGGACAACGGACGCATGGAAATCAAGCTTTATATGTTTTAGACTTAGATGTCCTAAATATGCACTATAATACAGCTCCAGATATACAACCGATATGTATCAAATGCAATAGTATTTTTCAAGCCAAAGCGTTACCATATGCTGTCAAATGTCAAAATAAGGAAAAGTTATGTATTATTTATTGCATAACAAAAAAAAAATGAATTGGTACTCTATTCAATTGTTTGAATAATAATCATATCTTCTATTTAAACCATTTATTTACTATAACTGTTTAAATAATATCTTAATAATAATTTATTTCTGAGTGAATTTATGATACTGTAAAGGAGAAACAAAAAAGTTCGATACCTAACAAATATGCGTGCAGTTCTCTTTTTTTTTAGTCTTTTAACAGCTCTACCTGTGCTTCTCCACTGCTCACGTATATAGTTGTCTATATGAAAAGATTTAATATATACATATAAGATTTTCTTCATATAGGCAATACACACACCTTCACTCGTATCTCTCGCGCTCGCACACCAGTGTTGGTAAAGAGATGAATTTAATAAATACAGAGAAAGGACATTTCTGACTTTAGAGAACAGTAAACTTGTAACAAAAATCTTTCAGAAACCTTTTTAAAGTTAATTTCATTTCATTCACAAGTTAATTATATTACTTTCTCTCAAAATCGAAATTTTACAGCTCTTCCAACACACCGTATAAAATTATGCTAGAAATATTATCGTTACCATCTACAGGGTCCGCCAAAAAGTTTGCAACAAATGGGACAATTTTTTTTTAAATTATACAGAATTTCTTCAGTATAACCAATAAATTTTGACAGCCCGAAGTTCCTACAAACTTCTTTTCAATAGCTCAATAATAGAAAATATCCCATTTGTTGCGAACTATTTGGCCTACCCTATAGGAAAAAAAATGAGATAAAAAATAAAGCAAAGCTACAGCGCTAGCTCTAACTACCGCCCCCGTGAGAAATTTAGTCAACTGATATGACCATCAACGAGCAATAAATATTTTTTTTTCCTTGACCCTTTACAGCGGTCTGCGTTTCTTACGTTTTTTCTTCTTGCTTACAACCACTGTTATTATTTCACATACACAAAGCTTGAGTTAGTACAGTTTATAGAAGTGGTGCCGTGTGGCACGGACCGACTAAAAGTCGTTACACATTAATAAATAATTTATATTAAATACACTTTTCTCTTGTCATAATACGAATACACCTTTTCTTTTCTCGGTAAACGCGAATAAACGTATTATTTTTTTAATAACTGCTACTAATTTACACGAAATAAAATCATTTTATACTTAAAAATAAAAAACGTCTCTAATCTTTTAAAACTTGGGTTTCCTCTTTCAAATTGTCCTTGGAGAGGTCCGAAGCTGTGGCGCTGACGGTTTTAGTAGCAGAACAGTCAGATATTTTGGAATCGTCCGATTTGTCGTTTTGGCCTGTAGAAACTGGATTATCTAATGGAAAAACATAAGTATATTTACTTTTGATAAAAAAAACCTCCGAAGAATAGTATTTTATATTATAGATCCGGTACGCGTATTTCCATAATATGCCATAAAGAGAGCATAAGGTCTCTAAGTCCCGCTCCCAAGCTTAGTTCAGCAGTGAAGATGACTCTAACGCGGTATAGAATGGAATTGGGAAATGCTCCAAAATCGGGTATAGTTCGTAGTCGCATTACTGGCGTAACCTTTGATAGTATAAACTGTAATATTCACTCATGTAAAATAGTATAGGTATGTCTATTCTTTGTCATTATATTAAAAACATGACTACAAATATAAAACAAACGAAATATCAACAAAAATAACATACTTACATTTTAATGAAATTAATCATTAAAATATAAGACACTTAAACAAAAAATAATAAAAAAACATTGCTATTTCCTGTTAAACTGCACTGCTCAGCTTTAATTACAAACATTAAAATACCAATGTCCTTTGGGATTTGGGGTATTTTCGGTGATATTTATGCCCAAGCACCATTTTTTCTTTTTTAGTCTGTTCTCTTCTGATGGCCTTCCAGATGAGCCTTTCTTGCGAGCGCGAACCATAAGTTCTTTAGAATAAAGCTCTTGGTTGTACTTTAAAATACTTGTTTTTTTTTACAGTTTATTGTAATATTTGTGAGAATTGTTTTTAACTGCCGATATGTATCAATATTTATATGATGTGACCATATTATTAAATCGTGTTAATATTTCTAGCTTTTCTTTTTCTGTGTTAAACCTAAAATTTTTTCCATATTCGTTTTCAATAAAAAATGCTGATCTTCAAAACTATCTTCCCTAAATCATTGAAACCCGACAAATATAGGTGTAGAGTTAAGTTAAATCAAGAAGTCAGATCAAGCCTACTCCATACTATACCGCATTTGGCACATTATCCTATTCCATTCTATATCGCGTTAGAGACATCTTTAATGCTGAAATAAGCTTGGAGGCGGAGCTTAGAGACCCTATGCTTTCTACATGGTATATTATGGAAAAACGCATCCGGTACATAAGTAGGCAGACGGTATAAGGCTTGATTTTCATGCATCCGTTGTCCGACGATACGATATTCATTTTATTGGTTGAATTTAAAGACTTCGATTGGTTAGAAACGGTTAACCAATCGAAGCCTTTAAATTCAACCAATAAAATTAATATTGTATCAACGTATCGTCGGACAAGGGATGCATGAAAATCAAGCTTAAGTCTGGTCATCACTCCAATGAGGTTGAAATATGATATGTCAATTTTGAAATAAGCCACTAAAGTTGCACAAAAACGACAGACAAAGCATGACAGATGTGCATCCGTTATGTGTCGTTCGTCACTGATTTTGTGCAATTTTATTGGTTTATTTGAAAAATGACAGCTCATACTTAAATATGATTGAAGTAATGTAAACATGTGATCCAACACTTCGTCTTTTTAATCAATGTTTCTAACAAAGTCTAAAGCTTCATTCAGAACCTCGCAATTAGTGGAATAAATTAGTGGTTTCAATTAGCGTACAAGTTTATTACTTTAAATTCAATGTAAGCATTCATAACGTCAAAATTAGTGGTAGACATTTTCAATTAGTAGAAAAAGTTACCAAATTTTTAACTTTTCCACTTATTAGGCTTTCTCTATGGATACATCTAAAGGTGCGTATTCACTTGCAACAAAACACTCCGAACAAACCAAACGCGCCGCGCACTCCAAACAACCTGCAACAAAACATTTTGCGCGGAGCGTTCCGCCTGTTTGCGGTGTTCGCTGCGTTCCCACCAGTAATCAGTGTTAGTGTGTTTGTCGATAAGGATGCATCTGATATTACCTTAGCCGCTGGTCCTTTTTAATTATAGAGGCATTAGCGGGTATCAAAAAAGAGAAAAAAAGGAAAGGACGAAAAATGTGGGCAAGGCGCCTCTTTTTGCGCCGTCAATATAATATGGCCTTACTTAGTGACCTAGATTATATGCATAAGAAGAATTTAATTAATTTAATAATTAATTATTAATTTAATAAAATAGGCCGCCTTTCAAACTCATCAATTAACTCTAAACACTTTTCTCTGTTCCACTCCATAGCTAGGTACAGTTTAAAAATACCCCAAACACAACGAACGTTCAAAACTGCCGTATCCACTGAACACCGGCCAACGAACAAATTCTTTTGAGCAAATCCCGTTTACCGACAAGCTTCGGAAAATGTTTGGCGCGTTCGGTTCGGTTCGGCGCAACGTGCTGACTACACAAACTTGTGTAGTGAATACTGTTGCAGGTGAATACCCACATTAACGCGAAGCTGTTGCCTGGATATTCTATTAATTTAAATTGTGTTTTTTCAAATATTGTGAATGATCTTAAACTAAAAAGTATAAAGTGTAATTGAAACCACTAATTTATTCCAATAATTGCGAGGTTCTTTTCTTTACTATACAATATGAAACTTTTCGGTACAATAATATGCTATTCAGGGACGGCAAATCGTTAATACATAAAAGAAACAATATATAAGCAATATTACTTACTCTGACCACCATAATATTGTTTATTTGGTGGTTTATTGGGATTGTTCCTATTATGTTTTGAAATATTTGATCCGTTGTTCTGAACTGAATTCATATTTTGTTGATGACAATTAATTGGTCTTTGAATAGGGGTTGGGTATCTTTGTTGAATCTAGAAAAAAATTTGCAAATAAAAATTTTATATTTCACTTTCACATAAGCTACAATATCATAAATAGAAATGATTGGTACTGCAGATACAATGCAGAAGTAAATTATGGCACTTTTCAACATTGATTCGTTTTTTTAAATATTACAGTGTCCTAAAAAAAGTATAATAAAAATTACACTGAAAAGAATATAAAAGCTGGAATATTTCATTGAAAATCTTAATATATTGAGAGGACTTATTTACAAAAATATATTATTTCCTGTGCCTCTTTCTTATAAAAAAAAACACGATATTTATTGACATACATATCGTCGTCTTCCACGGAAAGTGCCGTAACCAACATTTTGAAAATTTTACAGAGCCGAAAAGCTGAAAAAAAAACATCTTTTAGTGTAATCTGAAATAGAGGTGGGAATTCTAGTTCCTCCAGAGGAATAATTCCTTGAACTAGGTCTTTAGTTCACAATAGTTCTCGACTAACATTGACATCCCCGTTGCTTGCTAATGGGTGTCATTGTCAGTCAGCACTATTCACAGTATGATCTGTATAATTTTTATAATGTACGAAATATAACGAGACCTGTAATTGTGTATGTTAAAAACATATAGGTAAGTTTTATAGCAGATAAAAAAAATAAAAAAGAAACTCAAATCAGAGTTTAAAAAACTATATCACAAATCAATTGAAGCAAATATTACGAAAAATTGTATTTTTCCTCACTTCAAGCTTTTTGTTTTTGTCTAAAAATTTAGAATATCTACTTCGTTTTATAAGATATTTCTTAATTTTAGGGACCTAAAGTGAAACATTCCCATAAAATATTTAAAGAACAAACTAAAAATCAAAAACAGTATCCACGACAATTTTCTGTGGTAATTACGCCGGCTGTTGCAATAGACAAGGCCGAATCCATCGTCGTCGCCTTGTATTATATCTCGGATCTGCCGATTGAATAAATTCCCGTGTACTAGTCTTTTAATTAGTTCCTCTAGGTCCGGATCCGATAACATACGGCTGGCACTCTCCACGCCTGCCTAGCATCAATCGCGCTGGCCGATCCGTACGTAAACTAGTCCTTTACTTAGTTCCCCTAGTTCCTTTAGGTCCGGATCTGATAACATACGGCTGGCACTCTTGCCAAGCATCGATCGCGCATCGATAGCTGATCCATACGTAAAGTAGTCTTTTATTTAGTTCCTCTAGGTCCGGATCCGATAACTTACGGCTGCCACTCCCCACTCCTGCTTAGCATCGGGCTACGCGCGCTAGCCGATCTACCGCCGCCGGAAGGTCCTGAGGAACTAGTTCTTTGAGAAACCAGGAACTAGTTCCTTTCATTTCAGGGTCGGAATAGTTCATTGGAACTAGTTCGTCCATGAACTAACTACACACCTCTAATCTGAAATTAACTTTTGTCCAGAGCATAACTTGGCTGGTACAGTTACGATACTGTGGGAACTGTTAGATCACACAAAAAGACAATTTTTTCGCCCTACTGTAAAATTTTCAAAATTTTAGTTACGACACTTTGTGTGGAAGGCGACGATATATCCAAAGAAAATTCTATTATTTTTACTTACTGTAGATTGCTGATTTGTAACTCCTTGATAGAAGTATTTCCTTTGAGAAGTCGGGCTAGACTGTTGTGGTATATGTTTGTTACTCTGTCGTGATTTAGGAGAAGGTATTTGCGGAGCTAAAAAGGAGAATAATAAAAAATACACCTTCGTACATAAAACTATTTTTATAATTTTTAGTGTTTAGAACTAAAAATAATTAATGTTCTGCAGCTATTTAAAAAAAATCCAACACAGGATCGAAAAATATTGACTTCTAGGTTAAAAAAGCCATTTACCAGGATTAAAAATCGACGTTTCTTGACTGCCGGGACTTTTTAATTGCTGTGGTCTTTGACCTTGATCTGTTAAAAAAGATACATAGTTATAAAAATAGTTAAGGCAAAAAAGGGATGTAATACTGACCACTAACAGATTGCATGTTGCCCTTATGGTAAGGATTAGTTAATCCGGCTGCAGCCGCGGAGCGAAACTGCTGAGCGCTGAGAGCCATTTGCATATGGGGAGACAAAAAACTTGAATAGCCCTATAAATAAATAATTAAAAACTTAACTAAAGTTGGTGCCAGTAAGCCTTGAAATAAATTACCTGCATTGCTGTGTTAGTGTGAGATTGATTATGAGTTCCAAATACGTTGCCTTGGAGACCGTACCCAGCTTGATGCTGTGGTAGTTGTGCTGCAGAAGGCATTGATGAATTACCAGGTTGCTGAAAATAGCCACTCTGACCTCCTGAGAAAAGAACAAATATTTTACTTCGCCTATGTTGTTAACGTTATAGATTTAATTTTAGATATATTAAATGGTTTCAACTTGCGAAAAGTCCCAAATATAAACGACACGCATTAAATTTTAAGTTACGTAATCGAGAGCGCGGTTTTTAAATTCATTGTTGCCAACCATGGACATATTCAGCGCCAGGCTGACTAACTGGAATTTAAATTTCCCGCTAGAGATTCAGGTGGTAACTCTGCTGTAAAAAAATGTCAAGTTGCCTCATTTATTTATTAATTTCTTGACATTGTCATTCGTTTTGACACTTTAGCTTTGTATTACGAGTTTTTGATTTAAATGAACTATGTTATGATACTTTAAGACTAAAAATCTTTACTAGCAGACCTTGCAGCCAAACATTGTTCTTTTTAGAACCTCTTTTATGGCGAAGTGTACAAGATAGCTTAATAGCTACTGCAAAAAACTCATCGCAATCTTATTATAATAGTTTGAACGGGAAAGCGGTAGTAATGGCCTTTTATGTTCCTTAAGTGCTGTTAAGGAGGCAATTTTTGTTGATGTAAACAATAACTATTTATATATTTATAATTAATTTATTTTTGTTTCCTAAAATATTTTGATTAAAAGAAAATATGTAAAAGTGGGCAACGCTGTACTGGTCAATTGGTATGAACTGCATTTAAAACTGATTTCTGTATATTAAAAATAACAAATAAAACAAAGTCCTCCCCAAGTTTATTAATATTTTTCTAGTCAGTATAACTTAAAACTATTGTACATTCCCATTCTAGTTTCAAAAAATTAAATATGTATACTGATATATATATACCTGTCGATCCTGAATAGTAGGATGATGAAGGTTGCAGGCCAGGTACAACACTGTTCTGAACTGGAGGTCCCGCTGGTCCTCGTTGCATCACCCCGGCCCCAGGAAGATAGTTGGCTGCCTGTATCGACGGATCGTAAGTCATATAAACCTGTTGGCTTTGCTGCGATTGTTGGTAAGCCTGACCAACACCGCCCGCTTTAGTTCCTAGAAAATATTAGGAACAATAATAATCGGCTTATCTACAAAAGTTAATTTTTAGATCACACTAAAAGACGTTCTGCTGTAAAATTTTCAAAATGTTAGTTACTTTGTAAGGAGGGCGACAATATGTGAAAAAAGACATGTAACTAGGGAATGCAATCCAGGGATTAAAGCAATCAATCCCGCGGATCCGCAAAATTGCGGGACAGTAAACAATAGTCATACATTTGGTCCTAAGTGGTACAAAAGGCATTGTACATTTTGCATAGGCCCACAATATATTGATATAGCGTGTATCTTAAACTAGCTGTACAGAAATTTGGACCGATGTATACAGGGTGTTCAAAAAATATATTTAATATTAAATAAACTTAAATTTTATTATAATTTATCTACTTATTTTATAAATAAAAATATTATTCTGATGTTGAAGTTTTTTTTTAACTTGTGTTAGTTATCTGCTTTTAGATACACTCTATATCAATAATTTTTTGGCATATGCAGAATGTACAAAGCTTTTTGTACCATTTAGGGCCATACGTAATATGTATGACTAAAAATGCATATTTTTCAAAAAAACGTCGTATTTTCCTTATAACAAAAAAAAATTAAAAACCGATCAAATTGTTTTTTCTAATTTCAAGACAGATTAGTCGTAAATGGTAAAAATTTCGATTTTTTTAAAATTGTAAATTTGCGGTAAAAAATATTCTTTACCAAATTTTCACTCGTATAAAACACCCTGTATACGAGAATTCGCTAAATATATTTTCGAAAACCACATAGCATCTTAATCACAATAGATGCATCTAAAACCTGCTCCAAACCGCATCTCAAAATCATTTTTAGTTCAAGAGATATTCAACTTTAAATTTACCCTAAATTTTTGTTTGTCCCGATAATAAAATTATGTACGGCAGTTTATTTGAAGAAATTGTCCACAAGTACTAGGTAAACGCTTTTCTTCACTTACGCACATACCTACGCCAGAAAGAAATCTCCCGGGTTCCGAGCGTCGATGCATCGGCCCGGAATGAAGCGGTTTGACCTTGATCGAGATCGATTCGGTTACCCAGTAGTAATGTGTCGATCCCGCGGATCCCGCACGGTAAATCCCGCGGAATCTGAGAGGGATCCCGCATTTGCGGGATTGCATTCCCTACATGTAACTTATTTATTTGAATTGCCAATTGGGATATTCATTTTTGGTTTTACTAAAATATTTTCTTACCAATTGCACCAATTTGATGACTACTGGGTTTGACGCTTGCCGACATTAAGCTGTTGCTTGTAGAACTAATTAGCACAGTTGTGGGGTTGTTGAGAGGGGGATTTTGTCCGAAAGGCGGGGCAGCTGACATACGATAGCTGCTCAAACTGTTCATCGAGGGATATAATTCTGGTGGTGCTTGAGCCGTCGGCGGTGCGTGTGCGGCAGTTTGCAGGTAAACCTATAAAAAAATATTGTTGTTTTATTTAAAATAAAAATTAAAGTCATTTTTAAATTATTAAATCGCATTAAAATTTTTTTTTAACCGATAAAACTTACCGACTGTGTATTATAATGAGAGTTCGCTGCTTGACCAATGCCATGGTATGCTCCTACAGTAGGATATTGACCGAAACCACCCGCTCTGGCATGACCTTGTCCACCCAGTAGACTCGTTTGATCGGTGGGTTGCATAAACGCCCCGTATAAATTCGCCGATGGCAATTGCTGCGTCGAGTTATACAAAACTGTCGGAGGCGATGGAACGGCCGATATACTAAACTGGGCCGAACCTGCGGCGGCCACGCCTTGACCGGTAGCTGCCTGATAACTAGCGAGGTGTTGGTTGGTGGCGTAAGGCTGAGGTCCTAGAGAAACACCAACGGGCGCCGAGGCCATCGGGGGTGGAGATAAAGGAGGGTTTAATAGAATCGGATGACCAACAATAGCCGAATGTTGCTGTTGAGAAGTGGAGGAAGCCACTTGGCCTGCTCCACTAGAGATTTGCTGAGTTGGTTTAACCTGAAAAAAGTAATTCATTGCTGCTGAATGGTATTGATACTAGTAATGCAACCATGGAGTGTAGAGGTAAGGGGAAATATCTTCGTGCATTAAAAAATGGTCATAAAAAGGGAACACTTAAGATGGCGAAATATGCGCCGAAAATTTTCAAAACAGGAAATGATTCAAAAGAGATAAATATTTGACGTGAAGGCGCGGGTTTCAAAAAAATACAAATTTTATTTTCATGGCACATAAAATAAATTATCGATTTTTATTCAGCGGCAATAAACTGGACCTCTAATATATAAAAATAATTGTTTTATAATCTAAAAAATAAAAACAAAGCGTTTTTGGGTAATGTTTGGTTTTGTTACTTTTATTTTCTTATCTATGGTTTTTATTTTTTAGATTAATGCGTCATTAGCGCCACTGTGGTCATTTGGTAAACGCTTATTCTTCCCATTTTTGTGAGCGCTTTTTCAAAGAAAGTCCCATAAGAGATATTTTGGTCCTCATCTCTACACTCCATAGAATTAACAAATATCCGCATTCGCGAATATTCACATAATTTATGCGAACCTCAACATTCGAAAGAATATATGAATTGTATATATGTAATATTAAATAAAATAGACAAAAAAATATGAATATATTGTATTTTTTATTGCAAATATTAGCCTTGTAATTTTACATAATCAATTATCAATCAATTAACAAATTGCAAATTACACCAATAATAATTGTAATTATGTTATTTGTAACCCGCCCCCAATACTTCGCTTTTACATTTGGTATAAGTTTGATTTGTTATTAAATTTATAATTAATATTCTTCTTAAAACTTTTGTCAGTCTTTACATACCTAGTTCTTTTATTTTAAACTAAAAATTATAATTTTTTAGGAAACTAAAAATTATAATAAAAAAAGATATTTTTTTATGAAATCTTTTTTGACAAATAATGTATTTAACCATATATTATCTAATGTATTTTTCTCTAAAATGTTCACCAATCAATACATAAATGAAACATTATTTAACTTCAAAAAAATCATCTTTGATTAAATGAAAATACTAATACAAACAAGATATTCCATTATTAAACTTCTTTTAGGAAACAAGATTTAAAGTTATTATTTCATAATTATTATAACATCTGTAATATTTTGTATAATACAATATGATCGAAAAAAAACGCCGTCAGCGATAGCTATGATATGAAGATCGCTGTCAGTTTATATGTAAATTTCTATGGGAATTGTAATCATACTGTATTTCTTATCAATTTACTCGAATACTGACGACAAATATGCCATGTGCGTTTCTGAATGTATAAACATTTATATCCGTTACATCACTAATATTGATACATAGAGAATATAATAAAAAAAATCTACATTTACCTACTGATGAAAAACAATGGATGTATAGTTAGCTACAAGTCTGTTAGCTTCAAGAACTCAGTAAGTAAAAAATATCAGCGACAGAAAAAATACGAAAACTTGTTTACAGACTTGAATATATCCTAAGAAAAATATTTAATTTTTTTTATTGTACAAAAATATTCCATTTATTTAACTGATTCAAATTAGTCAAGCTCATATTTTTTTGTTGGTAAAATCTGATTACAAAGTGAATAACATACCTTGCATACATTTGTTGTAGAAGCCGACTGGTTGTTTCCTGGACTGTACGTTTCATGATTATCATCTTGGCCATCACTCCCCTTAAATACTGTTTCGATAACAGGCCCTCCAAACGTAATGCCGCTCGTATCTTCAGATTCTTGCTCCGAAGTTTCCCAAACTTTCTTAACCGAAGCAATTTTCATATTTAAGGAGTCCGCGTTGCATATTGTGCTAATAACATATATAAAAAATTGTTATATCGTCTATTTAAATAATTTATAGGGAAACTACCTGTTTACAGAAGTCATACTTTTGGTACCGCATAAATTTTTAGTACCCTTGTCATCAGTCAAATGGGTCAAGTCCGTGCCGAAAAAGTCCAGCTTCATATCAGTCTCTTCCTTGAAAACTGTCAGCTGGATAGGTTCAGTTTTTCCAGTTGTTTCAGCTTTATGTAGTAGTTCGTTAATGGTGGATTTTCTGAAAACGCCATTATCGATGTCCTCGCTTAATTTTGATCTGGTTTTGTCGCTTCCCACTGAAGACACAGAACTACGAGCGGTACTGCGAGCGCCGGGTGCGGATTTAAAGTTGGTATTCTCGAATATGATCGTGTTTACTGGCGGAGTACTACCGTCCAATAGGTTTTTGTCAGCCATTTGCGACTGTTTAGGCAAAATCTAAAATAAAGTAGATGACTGTAGCAAGATTATTAACGTAAATTTTGAAGTGTGGTAAAAGAGAGAGCGTTCATATTTGTAACGAGGGAGCTTATAGATTCATTGTGAGAGAACATTACAAGAGCAAGTATGAGCACAAACGAGCATGTTTAAGAATTTTCCCTGTTATTTTTTTGTGATTCATTATTTTAGTGTTTTTAGTGTGTTTAGCATAAGTTTTGTAAAAAAATAGTATATTCTCTATAGTATTTAGAATACACCTTATTATAAGACATTTAGTAAGCGACAACGTGGTCGGAAATTAGGAGTTTGGGGATTCCCAAGTAGACTATTATATACAATGACTAAAGAATCCAAGGACAAATAACACCCGAGAGCAAATTGTCACCAAACAGTGTCGTAGCACATATTTTTCTTAACTTAGCTGTTTGAAGAGATATTTATATTTTTTGATAAATATTTTGACTACGCCTATGGTGTATACGGTGGTATCGTACTAATTAATTACGAAAAAAACCTATTAAAATGTTAACAAAAGGTACAAAGCTAGTATCGACGTATAGCACACATCAAGTACATAACCTGATGGCAAGCGAAACCTTGGGTCGGCGTTTACATGTATAGGAGTGAATCGCTATTGCAATCTAGTAAGTCAGAGAGAGCAGAAATACCAAGTATTTATTACATAATCACTTAATTTGACGCTAGATTCCATGCGCTTGGAAAAATACTTGTCTTCTATCTTTATTCAGTACATCTTATTTTACTAAGCGTGTTGACCGTACTCTTCGTACACACGAAAATCGGCACCCTAGACCAGAAATGCCGACCCTTAGTATAATATCAGAAAAATAATTATCGAATTCAATTAGAAAACTGAGAAAACGCTAAAAAGGTGGAGCGGACTGTTTTTTTACCTATGAAACGTAACTCCTGGCTCTTTCTTATCGCTGCGGTTTTTACACTTGAAAGGGGGGCTGAACAACTAATTACCGTTGTAATTAAGTTTATACAAAGTTCACTACACACAAGCTATTAAAAATTGCTAAAATTGTCGCTGGTAACCAGTTGATGACTCATTCTTTGCCATCAAAAAAATGGCGTCTAATGTCACAAATTCTGCTCTAGCCTGTATATGGGCGTTACATGTCCTTATATTCTTTAGTCATTTATTATACATTTATAATAGAGATTTAGCTACTGGTATGTCACTTTAATTTGCAAATTTCAGTATGTAGTCTCTGTATTATGCCTAGAAAAAGAGTAACATATTCTGAATACTTGTTTGATCTCAATTTCTTTCTTCAGTTTGATCTAAAAGTTCTCAAAATTTAAATATTTCTTGAGAATAATAAGAAAAAACTTGAAATTCAAAATAATACTTAAACAAGTAACTGATTGATTTTCCAACCTTTGTGCTAATTATTGTAAATTCTCGATCTTTGCTTGTTTATTCACAGGGAACGTTCCCCAAAAATAAATTCTCAAACATCTTATCGTCCCATTGCTGCCAAAAGTCACTAACTTACTTTTTACTACTTCCGAGAAAAATGCGTCTAAAGAAGAATTGCATTGCATAAAGATGTTATAGTTAGTAACTATTCGGTACTAAAATAAAACATAAATAGCCAGAAATCGTAGTTAATGACTTTTGCAATCGAATCTCCGATTCAAAACATAGTGATTGAATTTGGTTGTTCGGAAAAATGTTAGTTAGTGACTTTTGGCAGCAATAGGACGTTATGCCACTAATGGTAACCAAATAGCAACCGTTTAATCTTTTCAGAACATAGAACTATCTACACAGATGCAAAAAAAGCAACAGAGAATGTTTTTGTCAAAAGTTAAAAGTGTTATATTTTATTACTTTTAACCCTACTTATTTTTGATAATTTTTTAAACAAACTGTATGTAAATCTATCAAGTTTAATTAATAAACTCACTAACACAGTAATCGAAAAATAATGTTTTAGGAAAGTTTTCTCACGAACAAGTAAATAGAAATCGTCTTTCTTTAGAGAACCTTTTTCTCACAACATTTATACTTCTCATTTTAATATTTGACCAATTTTCTATTATTATAAATACAACGTACCTTATCGCTTCCAGAAGTAGCGGACGATACTTCCAGTTTCACCGCCTCCAAAGATACTGTTAACATATTATTTGCATCACTTTCTGTCGATCTCAGCTGGGAACCTAATGGTTTATCCCACGCACATCCTGACATTGTCGGTGATACCTGTGCGTTTTCTTTTATGCCATACATATGGGCGCTCTGCGAATTCTAATAACAATGAAAAAAAAAACATTAAATTTTATAAAACGCTATTAAGAAAACAAAAATACTTTGCCCATGTCTCCAACGTCATTCATAATGTGTTGTTGCATTTGTTTCTGCATTTTTTGCTTCACAAATCTGGGCGGCAATTTATTCTGTCGCGATCTTTGGTCGTACTGATTTTTAGATTGAGGAAGCACTGGTGGTGGATTTACTGGAGTAGCCATAAGGGGAGGGATGTTCTGAATTTGCTGTTGTGTCATTTGCTGATTATTTGGTTTAGAGGTTATACCACCTAAACAAAATATTAATAAGTAAGTGAAGTTTGAAAACATTTAAAAAAACTTACCTGGTTTCCGGTCTGGCTTTACATCTTTATTCTCGACTTTATTTGGAGCCGGTTTCTTTTCTTCCGGGCCCTTTTGCCGTTCCTTTATCGCCTTTTTACTTTTCACTTCTTGAAATCCTTCTGAATCTCCGTTTACATTCTTTTCCTCCTTATCGTCATCCTCGGAACCTTTTAAGGAAATGTCAGCAATAGCACTGGTTAACATAGTTTGCGGATCAGGCTTAGCATCGGGTTTCTTGTTTTCGTAACTTGGTCTCTTATCGACGAGAGGTCTAGAGGAATTATTACGTCTATCACCACCAACTCGCCTGTCACCAACTCCACCAGGACCTCCTTTTTGGGAAGATGACCTGCTTACAGGTTTTCTTCCTCCATCCTTACTATCAGAATGTTCCGAGTTACTATCTTTTTCCAGTTCATCTTTTCTGCTCTTAGACTTGTTCCGTTTATTCTCGTATTTGGGTCTATTTTTGTTTTTATCTTCGTTAGTTTCTTGACGCGACTTGCCGATGATACCGGCAGCAAGAGCTTCTTGGTTTTGTTTAACTTTATCTAATGTAGGTGCCGAGCCGGTAGCATCAGACGAAGTTTCATCAGAACCGACTTTCTTGTCTCGTTCTTCGTGATGACCAAACGGACTTCTTGAAGGAGGCGGTCCATAACCATCAATCCTTTTAGCTAAACCACCCATTCTATTTCCTCTAAAGTTACTTCCACCGCCTCGCCCATGCCTTGAAGGTTCTCCGCGAGGAATATATCCTTCTTTCTTGTCAGTTTTTTCGTGTTGCTTCCTGTGTTCTCCCGAAAACTTTTCGTGTTTGTTATCTCGGTTCTTTTCGTCCTTTTCCGTTACTTTCTTTTGCAACGCTTTGGAATCTTTGGAATCAATTGAATGGGTGTCAGTAGACCCATCACTATCAGTACCGTGTCCGTAAAAATCTCTACCGCCGTGTTTATGACTTCTAGAAGGTGGCCGTTGCTTACCCCACGATGATGAGGACGGTCCTTTTGTGTGGAAATCTGAATTTCCAGAACCCCAACTTTTACTCTGCGAAAAATTTCTATTGTTTCTATTCTGTCTTTCTTTATAGTCATCTTTTTTTGTATCGGCAATTAGCTTGGTATCATCTTTTTTGTTTTCTGGCTCTTCAGTAGGGACATAATCCGCCCATGATAGCTTTTCACTGGTTGGCGGGACTTCTTCCTTCTTAAACGAGTCAATTTTTTTAGGAATAGGCATTTCACCCTTCTTTAACTGAGTCAAATTTCGTTTTTCATTTACGTCTTCGGCTTCAATGCGATCACGGGTTATTGGACCAGGAACAAGGTTAGACACTTGTCTTTTCTCTTCTCTTATTTGTTCTTTCTCTCGTTTTTCTGTATAATGCGCTTCTACGTCTTCATTCCACGAACTCATCGATTCCCTAATATCACCATCCCGAGATCTGCGATTGCTGCCTTGTGAACCATGCGAAGTATGAGAGGCGTGTGAAGTGTAAGAATCTCGACTATCTGGTCTCGCTGGCCTTTCTTGTTTTTCCTCAAATTTATCATGATTCTCGCGTTCAATATCCTTCCTTTCGAAACCTTTATCTTTAGACCATTTCCCTTCCTCGCGTCCAATTTTATTATGATTATCCTCGTAACCGTGATTATCTTGGGACCTACGCATATCTTGCTGAGCGTGATGAGAGCTTCTGTAGCTATCCTCAGAACTTTGCCTTTTGTAATCTTTATCTCTTCTATCATCATCACGCCTCTCTGGACTTTCAGATTTTCCGCTTCGACTAGGAGCTCTAGGCATACTTGAAGACCATTTGTTTGAATCATAATGTTGATAATTTGGTTGTGAGGCACCGTTATTTCTCTGATGCCTTAAAAATCTGGGGGGTAAATCGCTTTGGAAATGACGAGAAAAGTTTGGTACGTTTTGGTCACGGTGATCTCTATCGGGTTTTTGCTGCGGTTTTCTTGCAAAATTCTTTCCTTCTATCTGGGTCATTTGTCTAAATGACGAGTTATCATCTTTAACAACCGCTTCGTTTGAAAGACGTGGTTGACTTTCTTTGTCTTTATCTTTGTGAAAATCTGGTAAAGGGATCTCGACATGATTAGCGGGCTTAGCAGTAGCATTCGTCGAACTGATAGGGGCGACATCGGATTCTCGGTCATGTTTTCCACGTACTTTTTCTCCAATTTCTTGAAGTTTCCGTTGTCTGTTTTCCTCGTTCCTTTTCAACTCTTCCTGTTTCCTGTGGGTAGCTCTCTGAATAATCAAATCTACCTCTTTCTGGTGCTGTCGTTGCTTTTGTGCAATTATATCGTCTTCTTCCGACTGCCTGCCTCTATAGTCAGGCCTTGGCGGATTCCAATGACGGGGTGGGGTCTGACGTTCAACTCTAACCTCTTGGGGTTTGTGTTGCTGGTATTGTTGCTGAGGCGTCTTGTAGTCTTTCTTGGATGGTCGCTCGCTTTCGTCATCGCTAAAGGCTAATTTCTGATTGTAGTCGATGTCATCAGAAACTGCCCAACCCATATCAGGACCAAACTCATCCAATTTGCTGAGTTCCTCTTCGCGAATTATTGGGCGCGGTGTCAACTCTTCGGGAGCCACATCGCGGTCTTGAAGACGTGGCGGACGATTGTCCGCCATGCGTCTGCCGCCCATACCAGGGGCAGGCGCCTGAGCGTGGGGATGATTTGAAGTTACCGTCGTCGCACTTCCTTGGGGAAAACTACTTTTGTACATAAAAGGCGGTAGAACGCCGCGCACCTGCGGTGGGAGATGTTCAGGTTGACGGCCGGCCTGGACCGGAAGCTGTGGTGCAGTTGCCGGGATAGCCGAGCTGGGCCTGGCTGCACCGTCCGGAGGGCGTTGCCCGCCTTGTGTCCATGAACCTTCGGTCTGCGGGCGGAGGCTGTAATATAAGTTTAGTTATACGCTATTTGTGCCAATTAAAAATATAATTTTTCTTCCTTTGGGTAGATTAAATATTCTTAAGATTCATTCAGAACCTCGCAATTAGTGGAATAAATTAGTGGTTTCAATTAGCATAGTAGTTTGATCCTCCAATTTGAATGTAAGCATTCAGAACGCTAAAATTAGTGGTAGGAAGTTTCAATTAGTGGAAAAAGTCGACAAAACTTTAAACTTTTCCACTAATTATACTTGGCCTTTGATTATCATCCGTCAAGAGAAAATGTTGTCAGAAATCAAAAGTTTATCGTTTAATAAGCTAAATATTAGGCTTCCTCTATGGATACAACTGATTACCGCAAGCTGTTGCTAGGATATTCTATTAATTTTAATTGTGTTTTTAGACATTATGAATGATTGTCAATTAAAAAATATAAAGTGTAATTGAAACTACTAATTTATTCCACTAAATGCGACGTTCTGAATGAAGCTTTAAGCCCCGTTCTCAGAACAGCGAGTGTCGCCAGCGACACATCAAGAGAACCAATCAGATTTGTACAAAATTCAAACAGCTGTCAATTTTAAATTTAGTACAGCATTGGTTATTTGAAACGTCAAACTGTGTCGCCAGTGACACGACGTCGTTCTGAGAACGGGGCTTTAGACTACAACAGATAAATTGGACGCAAAATTTACGAACTTTATTCAAATAATAATACGAAAACTAAATAATACATCAAACTTAAAAATAGTAATAAGCATAGAATTAATACCTATATTAATTGCAAAACATTTTCCCATGCACGTCATCAATCATATCGAAATTGACATTAAAGCCAATAAACCTGACTAAACAAAATTTTGCCAAAAATGTTTAAATTTGTTGTATGATTTAAGATACCGAGTAGCTCTTCATTTTACTTTATAGAGCAAATTATTGTAACATTATATTTTATTTAGATTAAAGCTGCAAAAATTAGTTTAAACCGAATTTTATTATCGCTATATTGGTCACACTGCGCCGTGTTCAGCAACGTTGTCGTTTACTATTTGACAATTATCATGTCAGTCATTATTTTGTATATTATTGTATTGTTGAATCTTTGTGAGTTAGGTTAGGTTAATTTTAGTTTTTTGTCTATTTTTATAGTTTTTTTTAAAATAGTGCTTTTAAGCACAAACAGTTCTTTTAAGAACTAAATTCTCGAGTTTTTGTGTTGCATTTCTTGAAATTGTTTGTTGACAATATGCCGAAGCATTAAAACAATCAAAGCAAAGAGCTTGCAGCTTCCCTGATAAATTATTTTGAACGAGAACCTGACAATAAAGGTGTTTTGTTGCCCTTGATTGCTCTCAGAGAAGTAAGTTTGATTGGTAAGCACATTATACCACCTTCAAAGTAATTTTTTAGTAAATTCTGTGATTAGTTTGTGGATTAATGGCACCCTGTTACTTGTTATTACCACTTGTGGTGTTGTAAGTGGTACATCAATAAATAAATAAATAATCCATAATAGGCGCTTAGAATAATCTTCATAATGGAGTAATTTTTACCAATATATAATAAGTAAAATAAGCTATAAAACAAATAAATCAATTATTTACTAAAATATTCATTATTAAAATAAAAATAAAACGGGAAAATCTTTAAAAAATGATAATATTGTTTCCCAATTTTACATTAAGATTCCTCCCATAAATCTATCACAATCTGGCAGCGCTGTCGCCATCACTTATCACTCAAAGTTGAACACGTGTATCAGAAATTGTTTTGCGATTATCGTAAACTACTAACTACTGTGCCTGCTTACACTATGAAGTAGTGTTGGGCGATGTTTATCGATGTTTTAAAGACATCGATTTTTCGCCAGCGATATTCGATATTTTAACATCGATGCAAAACGTCCGATACTGTTTAACTTCAATAGTGATTTATCGCATTGAAAGTTAATAACACACATAGACTAGTAAAAGGTAAAATTAAAAACGGTTATACGACTATTTTGAATGCCGAACAAAAATGAAAGCTTACCTTAAGCCGGGCTGGCCGCCAGCGGGCCCTGTTGGCGCGTATTCGGGCGCCGCCCGCGGTCCTGAGCCGCCTACACCATCGCCAGCGGACAAGGTCGGAAACTCGTGCTGAAACTGGGGGCTCTGGTACGCCGGAGGATGGACCCCGTCGGCCGGTCCGCTTGCCATCACCGCGCTCCACAGTTTGTCCCCGGCGGACGATCCGGCAGGTGGAGCAGTGACCGTAGACTGCAAGAAAATTGCAAAAAAACATATAGGATGTTTCAAAAAACATATGTTTTTATTTTTACTTTTGAATTTATATTTATTGTTTGTCTTTTATTTGGGTATTGACGTGCTGGGCAATAAACTATTATTTATTTATATATAAGAGATTCCTCAGGTAAAAATAAGATTTTTTTTCGTATCAACATAGGTCCGATTCTGCTTTATTTCACAACTACAGAGGGTTAGTCCTAATTTTTCTTTTTCGATTTATTATAACTTTCATCTCCCCAAGCATACTACAGGCAGAAATCTACACTATCGAAAGACGCGTACAATTTATCTTAGATAGGAACTATCAAAAACAGGAAATAGCCATCTTATCTGATAGTCAAGCAGCACTTCGAAGTTCGTCAAAGAATGCCTAGAGAAGCTCAACAAATTAGGCAAAGCCAAAAAAAAAAATTGCCTGCTAACCAAGGGATAGAGAATAGGTCCCTAGTGATTATCTTAAACATCATTATTTTTTTTAGTTTGCTGGAGATAGCATTAAACATCACTTCTTTCTTTAAATTTTAATATTGTGTAACTTTAGAACTATGCATTTCCAAAACCATGTATACCGGGTGCGTCTCAAAAGTGGCTCATCACTATAATTTTTTCATTTTTTTCAGATATAAAAAACGAGATTTGGTATGTTAGTATATGACATAAATTAAGGTTGATTGACGTATTCAATTGTTTTTAGTCACTTCCTGTTTCACCGGAAACGACTACAACTTTTTATTTTTAAATGGCAGCCTCAGTATATTTTTACTTCATTCTATAGAAAATGACACTCTGAATAGAGTGACATGTCATATGTATAGAAAAAACATTATTTTACGAATAATTTGGTACCACAAACTTGGTTTTTTGAATCAAACTGTCGTTATGAACCGCATATTACGATTTCCAATAAACCATTTGCGAAAATGTCAAAAGTTGACATATGATATGTCATTCTATACAATGTCATTTTCTATCAAATAAAATAAAAAAATACCGAGGGTGTCATTTAAAAATCAAAAGTTGTAGTCATTTCCGGTGAAACAGGAAGTGACCAAAAACAATTAAATATGTCAATCAATCCTAATTTGTGTCATATACTAACATTCCAAATCTCGTTTTTTATCTGAAAAAATTACAAATTTATAGGGGTGAGCCACTTTTAAGACGCACCCGGTATCGGAACTTTTCAATGAGTTTTAACACTTTGGTCCGCTTAATAACATTGGTCCGCTTAATAACATTAAAAAATTTTAAAGGTTGCTATAAGTCTTGGATTAAGATAAATTAATAAAATTGTATTTATCTCATCATGGAGAAATTGACAAAATATCAAGAGACAACTTTTAATCGACATTAAATGGTCTACACAACTGTGCTAACAAACCAACTATGCTAACAAATATTTTAAATATATATACTGGCATCTTTTATGTCAATGACCACTGTAATGTCAAAATCATAAATAATTATATAGTTACCTGTTTGTTGTGTGGTGGAATAGCATTGGTTGAAGGTATTGCAATGGCCTGCTGGTGCGGTGTTAACTGTGGTCCCGGTACTTGTGGCGCTACAACGTGATTCTGTGGAGCTCCATTCTGCTGAACATTTGGAGGTGGTTGTTGTGTACCACCTTGTTCTAAAATATTAATAAAAAAATTATTATTGATTGTCATTAACTTAAAATAATTATTTTGACACTTAGCACATTATTTATTTCAAGTCTTCATGTGTAAAATAAAATTTCATATCCTATATTTCGCATTATTGTTATTTTCTTTTATATAGAGTATACAATAGATCTACCCACCTTGTTTCCCCCATCCTGTAGCCCCTGGTGGCACTAATGGAACTGCTGCACCTGACTCGCTATGTTCTGATTTTATAGAGGGTAAATTAGCAGGTGCCCTTCTCGCATTAGGTACTTTTCCCAAACTTTGCATGCCATGTTTAATGTAGCTCGCTGAACTCTTTTGTGCTGGCTTCTCAGTATTTTCACCCTGCAATTTTCATCTTTTTTTTACCAATCTATATTATTAAGGAATTAATTATTACAGCTAATTGACATTATAGTACAACAAACAGGGTTACGTAGGTAGAAAATTTTATACAGGGTCGCTGATATGTATGAGAACGATCGATTATTCGGTAAAATATACAAGGTACCGCAAAAAGTTAAATATAAAAGTTATAAGATTTTTAAACGTCTATTAGCTAGTAGTAAATTTAAGTATACAGAGTCGGTCATAAAGTTGTGGCACATCAAAATTTACTTTTTTTAAATGCAACCCCTGTATATTATTGCATATTTCAATTCTTCCTTCAATTTTAAGCAAAAATCGTAATACACATAATGTACCAAAATTCAACCATTTCCGAATTATGAAGCTTTGATTTTGAAATGTTAACCGAAAATTTTGTAATTTCCAGACTTGATATAATATCATTTTATTCATCTATAAATGCTATCTTGAAAACTAATGTCAAATATTATTAAGCATCACAGTTTCCGCAGAATGGCATCGTTTAATTAAACCAAACACATCTAAATTAATTACATCGAATTGTTTAAATGATATTTTAGATATATTCAAAAGACAATAACTAAAGAAGAAAAGAAACAGTTAGTTTGAAGTACATTGTGTGTATCTCGATTTTCGCTTAGAATTGAAGGAAGAACCGAAATATGTAATAATATACAGGGGGTTCCATTTAAAAAAATCAAACTTTATGACTGACCCTGTATACTTAAATTGCTACTAGAATATCTGATACTAGGTATAACCCTATAACTTTTATATTTAACTTATTGCAGTACCTCGTATATTTTACCTAATAAACCGTTCCCATACATATCAGCGACCCTGTATATTCACCCACAAGGAATAAGTACACAAAATTCACTGCCACCTGGACTAACAGTTTTAACTAAAAGTGATTATTGAATTTCTAATAAAAAAAAATAGAAAGGTAGAGTTTAGAATGCTCAAGTAGTGTTAACAAATACCAAAACAATGAAAATTTTATATAATCAAGCAGGCTTTAACTGTGACAGTTAAAAAACAATGTAATTTTTACAATAAAAATTATTTTCCTGTCATCACACAAAGAACTTTAGAATAAAGCTTATTTCATGGTAGGATATGTAAAATATGAATTTACCAATAAGCAACAAATTTTTTTGATAATCCCATTTACCTACTATGCTTTGGAAAATTACTTATTGCTAAAAGTAAACTATTTTATTAATGACCACAAACAGCTAATCTTGGGACAACAAAATTTTGTCTTATTGCAAACAGAAAGATACTAAAACTAAACAAAGATGTTTAAAAAATAATCATATAGGAATTTCGCTCAACAAAAATACTATATTTTCTACCTCCACTTGGCAAGTGTAAATAAGTACAGATGGATTGTCGTATAAAAATGTGTAATTCACCAATAATAGGAAATACAGTTCTTTCAAATAAAGCAGTAAATGTATAAGTATCAGATATTCCAAAAATATAAATTTAAATAAAGTAGTATTTAAATAATTTCAAATTACAGAAACAGTTAAAATTACTGTAAAAAATTGCGTTAATTATTGCTTATCCTTTAGAAAATAGTTGAAAAAAAGAGATGTCCTTGGATGTTGACAAGCAAGAAATTGTCATGATAATTTCCTATTAAAATTATGTTTTCACCCAAAGCTAAATCACTAAAATGTTTCACTACAATATATTTAAATTATATATTAAAAATATTGGTATAAAACCCCCAAACCTATTGCAGAATGTAAACTATATAAATAGGTACTTTATAAGGACATTTTTTTAATGTCTTTTATTTACATTAAAATACAAACTTTGTTTTATCGTTCAATTAACAGTCAACACTAGTGGTGTATAAATTTTGATTATTACAGCATTTGCTGGTACTGTAATAAAAACCATAATTGTTTCATGCAAAAGAGGAATCTATTGTAAAATGTAATTAATTCAAAGACAAACTATGAAATTACAGAAGTTTTCTACATTTTACATGTTATTTTAGTTATCAGAATTGCTGTTTTGATACTACACTCACTCTGAGGCCTTATCCCTAGGGATTTAGTTATATACATATAATAACTTAATAAAATAAACAATAGTCCTAAATCTACAAACTTAAAATTAAAGATGCCCTAAAAATTAGAATAATTCCTAATAAGTTAAAATTGTAAAATGTTATTCTGATAAATATTTGTAGTAAATGTTATAATATGGCTGTTAACTTACCCTGCTACTTTTATATAAACTATTTATATCCAGCGACTGAAATTTCTGCTTCGATTTCTCTCCTTTGGAGGCAGTTCCTGACAATGTAGACATGCTGTCCGCACGCAACCATTTAGATAGGCAACAACCCAAGAACGAACCCTAATTCTAAAGTAAAAACTTTGTTAGAATACGCCACATTAAATATTTGTTTAACAAAATTTTATATACTATACAAATATCTATATTTCACAGTACAATATCTCGTCAACGATTTTAAATAATTCGAGTATTAATAATAAGATTAAAAATAAAAGTAAATGGCAATAATATCTACATCAACTTGATATTTAAAAATCAAGAATCAAAATTAAAATAAATACCGTATTTTCATATTAATTAAACAACTACTAAAGTACCAGTCCTGTGATAGACAATCACTTTCTCCGGACAAATGTAATTAGAACAAAAAATAAAACTGTCTATACCTAGGTATGAAATATTGGTTGTATAAAATGTATCAAAGAAGATATATAAACAATAGACCAATATTAATTACGCCTCAAACCAAAATATAACTACTACTCTACAAATTCTAAAATGATAACACTAGCAAAGTCCTCAAAATCGTTTCAGTTAGCAAAGAGCTATAAGTATTCGTTCGACATAACGGTTTTGATTTCGTTTGTTCGCCAGTCAAAGGAAAACATCAAATTATGAAACCAAACTTAGAACAAAGCAACTTGGGAAATACTGATGTACCTTGGTCCGTCCAGATGGGTCAACAACAAATAAGAAGATAAATACGCGTTCACTCGCGATATAGATTAGATGTACGCGGATTTTTCTATAAATTTAACAATTTAGAATATTTTTAAGAGTTCTGTCAAAATGGCGTTCGCCGACTTACAAGCTGAAAATCAATATTACACGTCACAAGTGTCACTTTAGTACACGCCCTCGACGCACAATTGAAAAAAGAATTCTGCAGGATAATTAGAGGTTAGTTTTGACAATTTCTCATAGAGGGCAGAAACGTATGTTAACTTAAATTTTTCTCCTGATAAATTAATAAATTAAACAACTTTACACATCTAAAATAATTATGCAATTTAGAGAAACTGAAATATAAATTTAAAATACGCATATTTATAAGATATATTATATATTTTGTCACATTCCCATAAGCGTACTTTTTAATGAATTATTGTTTGTACACTTGAGGTACATTCGAAAAAAAAACAGTTAAAATTAGTAATAAATATGGAGCGAAAGAAAACCTTTATTTAAAAGAAATCCTTTTAGCCTCCATAGTAATAAATAACAATTTGACAATATTTTTCTAAACATATTTTATTTAAGACGCATTCATCACAAAACAAAATTAAATATTTTATTTAAAAATAAATATTTATTTTGACTATACATTTTTAGAGAGAATTTTTTTATTGATTTTTAAACGATTTTATATTTAATGTGATGACAAATTATTTTACCATAAATCTGAGTTACCCTGCATAACCGTTATACCAATTTTTTTATGTATAATTCTTGTTTATACCGGGTGCATCTCAAATGTGGCTCAACCTATAACTTTTTTATTTTTTTCAGATTAAAAAAACGAGATTTGGTATATGTTAGTATATAACATAAATTGGGAATGATTGACGTATTCAATTTTTTTTGTCACTTTCTGTTTCACCCGAAATGACTACAACTTTTGATTTTTACATGGCATCCTCGGTATATTTCTATAGAAAATGACACCCTGAATAGAATGACATATCGAGTGTCAACTTTTGACATTTTCACATTTACTTTTCGTTTATTTAAAATTTTAACATGCGGTTCAACGACAATTTGACTCGAAATACCAAGTGTGTGGTACCAAATTATTCGTAAAAAATGCTTTTTCTAAATATGCTAATGAGCCACCCTTGTTCTATTTGAAAAAATTAAGATATGATTAAAAATACGATTTGGTTGGCCAGGACAAGACACAAAAAAGATTAGACGATCAAATATATTTTTCCAAGGTTGCTTGATTAAAGTTAGTGTTTTTTATAACCCTGAGGTTCTAAATTGAAATTTAAAATACGATTTTTAAGTGAAAATGTCAAAAGTTGACATATGATATGTCATTCTACTCAGAGTGTCATATTCTATCGAATAAAGTAAAAATATACCGAGGACAACCGAGGAAACCATTTAAAAATCAAAAGTTGTAGACATTTCCGGTGAAACAGGAAGTGACAGGAGCCACTTTCGAGACGCACCCGATATATTCTTTATATAATAATTTTCTAGTACCTATATAACTGTCATATAATTCTAAAAATGATTATGTTATATTTCATTAATAAAAATACTAATATATCTTTCCAAATTTTTTATTGAACAAAAATAATTTTCCATATAAAAATATTACAATACATCATAACATACTTACACCTATTTATCAGAACCCAGTAATATTTTGCTGATTTTCTTAGTTGGTAGCAAAACGATGGCAGCAATCAAGACTAAAATTTGAGCGCATATATTAATATTTTTGATTATATGATTTATATATAATATTATATATTCTACTTACTCAAATGATTAATCGCAAACATAATAAACATATAATCACAATAATTATAGAAAATATTTCCTACAACATTCGATCCAACCATCGCCCCAAATCTTCCAAACATTAGCGATATTGCTAAAGCCATCGCTCTAATGTTGGTTGGGTACAGATCGACAACCAGAGCATTAACTATACCTATACAAGAAGATATCAACAGATATATCCCAGTTAAAATCTGTATTGTCATATATCCGGAAATATACTGCGCTATTAGTCCACATATGCCAGTTATTACGGTAGCAGCTAAAATATCAGTAAAGAAGAATTTTAAAAATATTTCATTGCTGCCAAAGGACAAAACTCATCTCACCAACAAGTAAATACTTCTTGTCTATTTTATTGACTAGAATACCAATTACTATATAACTAATTCCGATGGCGGCTCCTATGCTGAGTACCACTGGAAAAACACTTGTGTTAACTGTATCGTCGCAAACTTCATTCTATAGGCAAAAAATTAAATTTATTTAGACACTGTTTATCTTTATATGTAAATCTGAATAACTATTGTACCCTATACTTACATTTTGATCAGTTTCATTCGCTCTGAATAGATCTTCGAATATGTTATATCCTAATAAGTTAGATTTGGTTACAGAATCATTATTATAGTTAATAGATGCGCAAAGTGTAACGTCATTAGCGCTAACTTTTTTACTATATCGGTCCATACTGTTTAAAATTTCAGGATACCATAAGGCCAAAGCAGAAGCCCTAAAATAAATAGTTGTTATAAAGTTAAAACTTTTTAAATACCAATTTTTTATTACACTTAGTTTAAAGGAATTATTATTATTAAATGTAGTAGATACGTATTATAATTTGCCCAAGAAGAAATTTAGATATTTTCTGGAAGTCAAAATAGTTTCCTCTCTTACATACTGTAAAGATGAAGATTTTTTTAGAGAATAAGTGTATCAGATACAAAGATATTATGCAAAGTTGCTTTAAATACAAAAAAACACGGTGTTGCCATGTTGCTAATAGAAACAACTCAGTTTCAGTTCAAAGGATTATTGTAACAATATATCGTCTGTTCAGTAATCATTCAACAATTTTTAATTCCGACTTTTTAATTTAAAATTTGTAATTGAAGTTTTTTATTATTAAAATGGGTTGCCGATTTAGCGAGAACAAGCAAGTTTTCATTGCAAAGTTTATTACTTACTTTATACGAGAAAAGAAATACCGGTAAACTACTTTTGCTTGTGTAGGCCGTATATGAAGTAGTACAATGAAAATGTGTAGTCTTATGTCTTATGTAAGCACAAATTAACTACGTTTTTAGATAATATCGCTGATTGAAAGAATTGGGAAGACACGCAACCTAATGGGCAAATTCGTGACAATCCCGATTTAATTTCCCCTTACGTCTCAAGTGCTGTACGGTGGAGCCTCTACTCGTTCTGCGGCCAAAGCATAAAAGACTCATTTTCTCTAATTCGGCTAGCGAAAGCATATCGAAGACGGTGTGAAACTGAAAGCGACAGTGTTGCCATATTAAAATGTGTAAAATATGTAATATCTGTAATACGTTTGATGAAAATATCTTTTGATGAAAAATAAATGCGAGTTTATGTATTGAAAATATATTCGTGTTAAACATTGAATAAACAAAAAAAATAAAAATTCTTTTATAGATGTCGTTTAGTTGGCTTGGAAATGACGACTATAGGCATTTACTATAATATTTTACATATGAAATAACGGCGATCTTCATTTCCAAGCTAACTATGACGCCGTTCTTTGTTTAATCATGCATAATATTATATTAAATTGTTTAATGATCCGAATTATCTATATATAATATATATTAAGAAAATCCGAATTATTAACGTACTGTACCCAAAATCCTTAAATCTACGCATTAATCCGTAGTTATGGCAACACTGTCTCTGGTAACCACCCACTCTGTCGACTGAAAGCAGAACTACTACGATCTCAGATACACGTTGAACGATCGCTGAACAGCCTATACATATTATTGGTTATGTAATATAAAAATTGACACTTACGACATAAAAACGCCGAATTGCATATAACAAATTAATACAGTTTTAATTATATTTTCTTTTCTAAACAAGGGTACTGTTTGTCTCCACATCGACAAAAATACATTGACTTTCTCTTCGTTTTTTTCTGTTAGGATTTCGTCCAAGATGATTGTTGACACAGGATATTCATGAGATTTCTTATTTTTGTTTATAACGAACATTCTTGTTAATATTCTCAACGTTCGATCGTGTTTTCCTCTTGACAATAGGTATTTTGGACTAAAAATATAGGAATAATTAGGACATTGCCACAAATTACCTATAATAGATGCGAAAGAAAGTGACTGCATCGGAAACCGCTCGGCAAACCCCACACGCCTATTGAGTGGTGTAAATACACTAGTCGTTTAGTCCGGAAACCTATGCTGTGTCGTATTCGCTTGCTGGAATGACATAGTGCGTGGTTATATGTTTCTTTTTAAAAACGGGTGTAGGATTTTTGTTGAACTTTTGAACTGTTATTTCTAAGTTTTGGTAATTTGTATATCTTATTTAAAATGGGATACAAATGTGTTTATTTATAAGGAAAAAAAAAAAAAGATATTTATAGTATAAAAAATTAATTTATTTAACAAAATTAATTAAAAATGTGACAAAATAGTACCTTTCTATTGGTTCTATCGGACTTTTTTCGACTATATAAATCTTTATTTGTAAACTTTAATACATCAAATATTTTCAATCTAATAAATCATTTAATGATGTAAATAAGAGGAAATTTCTCACATGGGTGGTCAAATTCTATAGTTTTCATTATATCAAACAGCCTCTGAGAAATGTTTTCAACTCAAAATGCCTTTAATTATGTTTGACTACATCAATTAAAAGGGTCTTCAAATACATCAATGTGATATTTGTCTAAAATTTGCAAAAGAATCCGAATCTCTGGATAACTCGAAATTATTTACCCATTTAAAAGCCTTTGATCATGAAAGTGGAAAAATTTGTTCATTTTATTTACTGGAAATGGAAAAATTATTTATATTAAATTTTGATGAGTTTTGCACTGAAGAAAACATTCAGAGGCTGTTTGATATAATGAAAACTATAGAATTTGACCACCCATGTGAGAAATTTCCTCTTATTTACATCATTAAATTATTTATTAGATTGAAAATATTTTATGCATTAAAGTTTACAAAAAATAAAGATTTATATAGTCGAAAAAAGTCAGATAGAACCAATAGAAAAATAACTATTTTGTCACATCTTTAATTAAATTTTGTTAGATAAATTAATTTTTTATACTATAAATATCTTTTTTTTCCTAATCTCCTACGAACTGATATAATATGACGAGCAATCTATTAAATTACTGTGAGATTATATGCCTCGATAACATATTGGTGCAGATTATTTTCACCCAAACAAATAATAACCCAAACTATACATTGATGCGGATTGTCTATGAACTCTTTCTGAAGGTCACAGAAATCTGAACGCGTAATTCGGTGTTCTTTCGCATCTGTTGTAGTTAATTTGTGACATTGCTTTTAAAATTTTGACACATTTTATTTCTTATACTGAATACTGCTAAAAGAATAAAACTAAAACGAAATTTGATAAAAATTTGAAATAAAAAGCGATATAAAAATGTGAAATTGAGAGAAAATGGCAGAAACCGTTACAAATGTAATAAGAACATACCTTTCGGGCAAAATTGATAACATGGCAGCCACAAATAAACTTGGTAGAGCATATACAATTATTAAGAGTCTCCATGGACGAAAAGTGATTCCTAAACCTTCCAAATCATAGCTCCAAGTGTTTGGCAACAATTTCCATGCCATACCTGTGCACAATATACCGTATGATCGAATAAAAACGGCGTCAACGATGGCTATGAAATGAAGATCGCTGTCATTTTATATGTAAAATTATATGGGAAATGTCATCGATCGTCATTTCCAAGCCAACTGGACGCCGTTTTTTTTCGATCATACGGTACTTAGGTTTAAGACTCATACCAAATTTTGAATTATTTTTTTTAGCAAACTGTATATAAATATACAGGGTGAGTCTTAAATAAGTGCAAATATTTTCAAAGCTGGTAGATCTCGATAAAAGAAACATATTTTCTCTTTACAATTTTTCAGATAAGTCCAAAATAACAGAGTTATTTAAGTTTGAAAATTAAAAAAAAAGATTTTTTCTGTAAAAATTTTGAGAGCCACCGGATTTTTTCTGTATTTGCATCCCTTTTAGTGCCGTAACCATAGAGTAAAGCCGTAACTATGGTAATATCAGATATTAAGAAATTATATCGTGGGAAATTTGCGGTGAACAGGCAGTTCTAAAAAGTTTTCGAAAAATATACAAGGAAATTTAAAGGAAAATGCACGATTTTCAACATCTTTTTTTTGCGAAAAAAAACTCATATAGACGTGTTCCTGGGGTCGAAATATACCATCACTGAAAATGTAAATATTTTATTATTATGATTCACCCTGTATATAAATCTATCAACTTTAATTCATAAACTCAGGTTTTTATAAACTTTAGTATTTGGTTTATTATACAGGGTTAATTGAAGGGTTGTTTTTTTACCCTATATAACTTTAAAACATCTTGTGCAATAATTTCATGAGTAACTTTTCCTAAAACATTATTTTTTGATCAGAGCCATATCTCCTGAGCATTTACTTTTTTGACTCATGTCAACACATGCCTTGATTAATTTTTAAGAGCAAAATAAACTTGCCACCAACAATTTGCAATTTTTCAACTATCATTAGTTGTTTATGATGTTATTTTTTAATATCACGGGGTGGCTTTAGTGACTATTGTCGTAATGTCATATCGACACTGATTTGAACTCTATATTAAAATTTATAAAACTGTTAAAAATAACGATACAGGCTTGGTTTTAATAAATATCAATACGATAACAGAACTAAGGATATTTAAAAAATAGCTGTAATAACTTAGTGTACAAACAAATAAAAAACTTGTAAAAAATACTCTAATACTTTGTATTGCCTCCCCCGGCTGCTATAACTGTGTGTTATGTTTTCCCATTCTTCTTCAAGGACCAAGCGAATATTCATAATTTCGGCCATCTTCAAAAAGATCGACTTTTGCGACAATCTCCGACACTAAGAACCATATTCAATCGTAGGCAACAATAATCACCAAAGCCACCTCGTAATTATGAAGAATAACATCAAAAAGTAACCATAATTGAAAAAATTGCAAAATGTTTGTGACAAGTTTATTTTGCTCTTAAAAATTAACCAAGGCAAGTGTTGACTTGAGTCAAAAAACAAAATATTCAGGAGACATGGTTCTGACCAAAAAATAATATTTTAGGAAAATTTGCTCACGTAAATATTGCACAGGGTGTTTTAAGAGTTTACTAATTAAAGTTTATATATTTATATACAATTTGCTAAAAAATTAAGGAAATAAGTGTTGTCTGTAGTGTATTGTCGTTTTTGGATGTACCTAGTTTGTCGAAATCGCTTCTTCTCTCGTTGGATAGACTTTAGTTGGTAAATTAGAGGAGATAAAAATAAACTAGCAAATCTAATTATTATAAACAATACTAATCTTCCTAAATTACCTGGTATATACATTTGTCCAGCTGCTACAAAAGAACTTATCCATGATACTATCATTGGTCTAAATCGGTCGCTGTGGAACTCCCCAGCAAAAGCATATATTATTGAAGAAGATCCACCAATTCTTAAATTATAATAATACAATAAGAATATATACTATATAGAACAATTACAAATATATATTTCATATTAATTAAACTTTTAGTTACGTAATCGAGAGCGCGATTTTTAAATTCATTGTTGCCAACCATTGATACATTCGGCGCCGTGCTGACTAACTGGAATTTAAATTTCGCGCTGGGGATTCAAGTGGTAGCTCTGCTGTAGAAAATGTCAAGTTGCCGTATTAATGTATTTATTTCCTGACATTGTCATTCGTTTCAACACTTTAGTTTTGTATTACGAGTTTTTGGTTTAAATAAATAGTGTTGTGATACTTTAAGCTTGAAGTTTAAAATGGCAGACCTTGCAGACGAACATTGTTCTTTTTAGAACCTCTTTTAGTGCAAAGTGTACACGATAGCTTAATGGCTGTAAAAAACTCATCGCAACTTACGAACGAATATTTTGAACGGGAAAGCGGTAGTAAAGCCCTTTATGTCCCTTAAGTGCTGTTAAGAAGGTGAGTTTTGTTGATGTAAATAATATCTGTTTATATATTTATAATTAATTTATTTGTGTTTCCTAAAATATTTTGATTAAAAGAAAACATGTAAAATTGGGCAACGCTGTGCCGGTTAAGCTTAATCACCGTGACTAAAAGTTTATTTGATATGAACTATAGGTTTATAGTTTCAATAACCGCACTGGTAAAAACCAAAATATTTAAATATTATGACATAGCCACAGATTCCAATATTATTTCAATGCGATTAACATGAACGATAACTGGACAGTTCAAGGGACAGGTCTGATTTCAGCCCTACCGAGCTGTTGTCGTATTTTTTTAAATAGATTGAAATACCTCAAGCCTATAAATGTCTAAAATTCTCATACATATTTTATTATTATTTTACTAAATAAATGTCACATTTATTCTTAATTAATACATATTTTAACAAAAACTTACAATGCTCCATTAATAAATCGTAACAAAATAAACAGCCAAGACCAAGGCACTAAACTGCAACCTAGACTAACTAAGGAACTGGATATCAAACAAAAAACCAGAATGTTCTTTCTGCCCCTGGTGTCCGCCAAGAAGCCCCAAAACTGGGAGGTCGTCATCACACCCAAGAAGCTAATAGATGCTAGAATTCCCTTTTCGGATAAATTCAGATTCAAGTCACATTGTGCCGCGGGGATGATGAACGCCATCGACATTGTCTCGATGATGACGCACATCAAACAGCCACCCGTTGCCAGCAGAATAAAAATGTTGTATATGCCATAACCTGAAACAACCATACTATTCTTTGTTGTACTAATATTTATAATACCAATTAGTTTTATATGTTAAAGCACATAAGAATCAGCGACAAAAGTTCCATTGATGGGGGTGATGCATCCTTGTGTGCATCCTTTCAAAATATTCTAATACGTTTTTATTTAAAAAAGTTACTGAGATCTCCTATAGGCTTGGTGTATTTTCCGCCGGTGCTGCCACCATCGGAGAATAACGTAAACAACTAGTATATACACATTCACGGGTTTAAATACCGAGTATAAGAAAAATTTATTATATAATTATTCTAAAAGTGTTATGAACTATAAATTGTGAAAATTCTAAAAATAAAAATAAAAAAGTAAATATTTTGATATTTTCAGAAGGTCTAATTTGTATTATAATTTATTATTCCAGCTAAAAAACTTAGATGAGTTCAACTTCGGTAGCGAGCATAGTTTTAATCACCGGTTTTGCTAGTGGGGTCATAATTGAGGCTATTTCGGCTATAACGAAATTTTTTAAAGGTACATACCTAATTAAAATTAAAATAATAAAACATTTAAGCACTAGTTGATTAAAAAAAGTATACCATTAATGTTGCAAATTATATTTTATCCTCTCATATGCCTATTTAATTTTTGATTATGTAACGAGCACTTTGTTTACTCACTTGTTCCGTCGAACTGCTTGAATCCATTTTTGCTATTGATCAAATCGGTGTGAGAAACTATGAAGCTATAAAATGTTGTTTCGGGAGTGTTGAACATCGGGAAAAGTTGAGTTATTGAATGTTATTGCAACCAACAAGCCACGATTTCAATATTATTTTAATGCGGTCAACATGAACTTTAAACGAGACGGCGCGGCGACGTGAAATACATAGCGAAAATTTCTGATTTTTGCCGTGTACAGCACCGCGGTCGGAATTTTTTCAAATCAACTGAAATGCACCAAGCCTATTAGCGTTTAGAAGAAAGAATACGATATAGTGTGTACCCTTCCTTGTTTATATACAAGGGTTCGAAGAATCTGCACACAAGGGTGGTTTGTACTCTCATATGGTACTCTCGGAGATCAGTGAAATTCCATTGTTGCGCAATAATAATTGTGTAACTGTTACTATAACATAGATTTACAGCATAAATAAAGCAAGTAATAGTTGCAAATCTAGATTATTTACTTCTCAACATCCTGATAATGTTTGTAAGATTTTTATCTTATGCTAAAACAAATACATTTAAAATATTTACAATCTGAATAGCACCAATAACTCTGCAGGAGAGCTAATAAAGTTAGAAAGTAAGAAAATAATAAACAATACACAGAACATTTCATAAATCATAATTACAATATATACAGGGTTATTCAAACTTGACGCCTAAGTGTAATACCAGGTGAATAAGGTTGATTCTCACTATACCTTCCATCAGCTCCCTTCCGTTTCCCTTCCATTTACATAAAATATTATATCATGTAAATGAATAGGACAATGCACACTATCCGTTCCTTTTCCCTTCCGTTCCTTATCCTTTCCTTGCATACATTTTTTTGGCGTACGGACTGATAGTATCGGAAAAGCGTTGTCAAGTTCTTACATTTGTACCAGCTCTGTTAACATTTTATTGATATTTATTTATTCTTTCACCTCCTAATTAAATCTATTGCCTTTTTCAAAAGATACACATTTTTAAAATAAAACTTAATAATATAAATTGTACAATAAAAAGTATGGAACTGATACGGAACGGAAGCTTACGTATAGCGTCATTACAATAAAAAATACGGAACGGATATGGAAGGGATATGGAATGGAAACGGAAGGTATAGTGAGAATCAACCTTAAACATTCTAATTTGAATAATGATAGCTAAAAAATAAAGGTTAAATAACATATTTTTAATTAAATACATATACTCTTTGTGACAAGTTGATTTCTAGAAAAAGGCTGCTTTTTTACTTAAACAGATCTATACAGGGTGGTCGTTAATGAGGCCAGTTTTTGGCCAAGTATGACAAACAGCATAAAAAAATAAAGGGACCTACGTTGTGTTAAAAATACTTTTTATTAACGCTGTCCAAGATAATATATAATGATTTCCATTAAAAAAGAAACGAAGAAACAATATTTTATATTTTAGAGAGTTTATATAGCATAGCATTTTGAATACCATAGCATTTAAAAACCAGAAGTTGTAGTCATTTCCGCTGAAACAGGAAGTGACCGAAAACAATTGAAAACGTCAATCAATCCTAATTTATGTCATATACTAACATACCAAATCTCGTTATTTATCTGAAAAAAATAAAATAAAAAAGTTATAGGAGTGAGCCACTTTTGAGACACACCCGGTATATGCAACACCAATTAAACTTTTGATTACTTAATTGAGGGCGCGATTTTTAAATTCATTGTTGCCAATCATAGACATATATTTGGCGCCGGGCTGACTAACTGGAATTTAAATTTCCCACTGGTAATTGAGGTAGTAGCTCTGCTGTAAAAAAATGTCAGTTGCCACATTTATTTATTTATTTCCTGACATTGTCATTCATTTTGACACTTTAGTTTTGTATTACGCGAGTTTTTGGTTTAATTAAGCTATGTTGTGATACTTTAAGCCTAAAAATCTTTACTAGCAGACTTTTGCAGCCAAACATTATTCATTTTAGAACCTCTTTTAGTGCGAACTGTATAAGATAGTTTAATAACCGTTGCAAAAAACTCATCGCAAACTTATTAGAATATTTTGATCGGGAAAGCGGTAGTAATAGCCCTTTAAGTCCCTTAAGGGCTGTTAAGAAGGTGATTTTTGTTGATGTAATTTGTAATAACTGTTTATATATTTATAATTAATTGTTTTTTCTAAAATATTTTCGTTAAAAGAAAATATGTAAAAGTGGGCAACGCTGTATAGGTAAAAACGTTATGTGTAGACAAAGCTTAAAACAAAAATCTCAAAAGAGAAATATTATATGAGGCTTTTTTCGAAACTTAAGTCCTATAGGTATATTAATTTTGATGAAAATATTTTAAATACTATTCGTACCTGTTAGAGAAACAGCTTCATTATAAAGTTTACTTTCTTTTACCATATAAACTTCGGAGTTTTCGAGCATTTTAATTTAATAACTTTCGCTCTCAAAATTTTTTACCTAGAAGTTATAATTCAAAGAGTTAAAACAGTACTAGCCCAGCTTACTTAAAAATTTACTTTTGTCGTCGAACAAACAAGACCATATATTTCGTTACTTTATTGTATCTTTCTTACTTCGTCATTGTCGTAGAAGGTAAAATATATTTAAAACAATGATTTATCTAACAATTAGTAAATTACTAAAACAAATGCTTTTTAAGCTAAAATTTTGATATTGAAAATAATATATAAATAAATAAAGGTTTTCTGTTATTATAAAAATCTTTTTGTGAAAATATATGTAAATAAAATTTACACAATTTGTGTAATATAAACTACAGGGTGTTCCACTTTAAACAGGCTAAAAAATACACATCTAGGTAGGATTCACAATGTGATAATAGTTCTGAAAGACACTATTATAAAATACTTGTAATAAAATAAAAAACTAATTTTCTATATTTAATTTGGACTCACCCTGTATACATACCATGCATTATATTTAGCTTGTTTAGTTTAATGTTTAGGAGGGGAGTTAATCACCGCGACCTTATAGATCTATTGTGTGTGTTCCCCTTTCTTCAGTTATAACGAGTTATAACTCATCATACAGTCTCAGGGCTTTAACAAGAGCCAGTATCTGAGACGGCTCCACAGAGGCCAGCTCTCCATCCTCGATATCAGACGTACCAAAGTTCATGGCACGAATGGTCGTCGTTTCGGCGCACTCAGTGATTTCGAAGAAGAAACCATTAGGGGAAAATGATTTCAATTAAAAAATTAAGATTTTTGGATTTTTTAATATTGAGGTTTTTTCAATACAAGCTATCGTTCTCCTTGGAGCCTGCGCATCGTATTAGAGGCGCCACCCTGTACAGCCAGCAATAAATTAAAATCAGGTCTCAAAATTAATTTAGCAAAAACTAAAGTAATGTACAACGAACTAGTAGACAAAAAAGACATTCTCATGAATGACTCAAAACTGGAAATAGTAGAATACAGGTATTTGAGACAACTATAATACACAGCTCGGGATCTCTACTACCAGAAATCAACCGAAGAAGAAAGTTAGCTTGGAGTACTTATGAAAGAAACTCAATCAAATTCAAATCTAGAATGCCGCTCTATCCAAAGAAGGAAACATTGGACCAATGTGTACTACCAGTCATGATGACCTATTCATGCGAAACCTGGACACTTAAAAAGGACATCATAAGGAAACTGCAGGTCACACAACGCTCAATGGAATGAAATATGCTGGGAATAACCAAGAAAGACTTTTTGAAAAGGATACGACTGGTAAATGTAAAACCTAAGGATCAGAAGAGGACCACAATTGATTTAAAAAGCCCTCGAAAAATTTAATTTAGAATATAATAGGGTTTGTCAGTAAAGTCCCATGCTAATTATGTTTAGTTAGTTACGGTTCGTCAATGCGTAGATTTTATGCGCCAATGGGGTTGTGAGGCGGTTCGGCGGAGTGTCGGTTTTCAAATCGACGCATAATTAATTACAGCGCATAGCAGGGCGATTTAATCACGAATTTGCAGTTGAAAATTAAAAACTTTAATGCAAAAAAAGTTACTAATTTTATTAATTAGATGTATTTTTTTAAATTAGAATAAATATCTTATCAGTTGTACGTGTAATTATTAAAGTTATATTTTTGATGTTTGTTTTTCAGTTATTATTTAAATAAAGATCAAGCTTAATTGTTAATTGTGTGATTAAATATTTATATGACAATAATATATTTAAGCATTGTCTACCGGGTGCGTCTCAAAAGTGGCTCACCCCTATAACTGTTTTATTTGTTCAAATAAAAAAAAACGAGATTTGGTATGTTAGTATATGACATAAATTAGGATTGATTGGCATATTCAATGAATGGCGGAGATGGCTACAACTTATAGCATATGTCAACTTTTGGCATTTCCAAAAAATACTATTTTAAATTTTAATTTAGAGTGCCATGGCCATAAATGCAACGACAATTTGACTCGAAATACCAAGTGTGTAGTACCAAATTATTCGTAAAAAAATGCTTTTTCTGAATATGCTAATGAGCCACTCTCATTCCATTCAAAAAATGAGATATGATTAAAATGAAGGCCAGAACAAGAGACGAATAACATTAGACGATCAAATCTATTTTTCCAAGGCTCCTTGATTAAAAAATAGTGTTTTTCATACAGTCATGACCTTAGGTTGTAATTTAAAATAAGATTTTTTTAATGTCAAAAGTTGATATGTGATATGTCATTCTTTTGAGGGTGTCATTTCCTATAAGTAAAAAAATACCAAGGGTCCCATTAAAAAAACCAAGTTTTTTTCGGTGAAACAGGAAGTGACCGAAAACAACTGAATACGTCAATCAATCCTATTTATTTATGTCAATCAATCCTAATTATCCAAATCAAACCAAATCTCGTTTTTTTTATCTGAAAAAAGAAAACATTTATAGGGGTATAAGTTATAGGGCCACTTTTGAGACGCACCCGGTATATTATTGTTGCGGGTATACTCGTATTGCAGTTCCCTCCAATACGTTCTATAACGCGTTTTGACAATCTTTTTATTTTAGGAAATAAATAACGGTTTATGATATATTATATCTAGTTCGTTTTATCCTTGTACATAAAAACAAGCAGGGTATTATCTGCATACGCTCGCAATTTAATGATTATAAAAATACATAACAATTTGATTGCTTTTTATTGTTACAAATTTCCTGGATCGTTTTAATTAAACACACTAGAAAACATTTTAATTATTTGATGATTCGTCATTTCAATTAATATATTTCTTTCTAACATTTTCACGGACGAGGTTACCATAGGAGTGGACAATTTTCCCTAGTTTAATTAATTTGTTTAATAGTATACATAAAGTATTTTATATTTGTATTATGATAACAACAGAGAGGAGACCATATTTCTTACAAACGCAAAAACATTTTTTATTCTTGGTTAAATAAATAATTACTAAAAATACAATATATATATATATATATATATATATATATATATATATATATATATATATATATATATATATATATATATATATATATATATATATATATATATATATATATATATTTGAATTAAAATTATTACAGACAACTATAATTGTCATATAAGTATTCTCTTGTGACTCTTGTAGTAAACACTGTTTAAAAATGTGTTTTTAGAAGGTACATTTAACAAACTACTTAAAATTAGGAATTGTACACGTAACACGCCAATGTATATATTTTTTAAAACAAAACTCCAGGTATTATGAAAAGTGTATAATTATCATGCAGCCTGCAGAACTACTGAATACTGAAATTTTTATCAGTTAGATCCATCCAGTCGTCACAAAATCCATATTTATAATAGATTCGATACTCTGAAGTAAAATTACTCCAGATCTAAATTTAAACTAAAAACGTATTCTACCATCAATAAATTTAATATACAGATTCATAATTCTTTTATTTTTATAATTAAATATTTTCATATAGTATGATCAATATTATTTTTTGAGAACTTTTCTCTAAAGAAATTATTCTGTGCGGAACAAAAAAGAAATATTTGTACTGCTGTAACTGTAATTTAATAAATGGCAAATAGTATATTGTCCTATCATTTTTTGTTTTTTTCTGCTTGTGTTCAAATGCATGCATATAAATATCTGAAAAATCAAAGCTTTCAAACATATTTAACCCTTATAATAAATGCTAGGCCTAAAAATGAAATAAAATACCGGGTGTTCCATAAGAAAAAATATAACTTTGTGATGGACCTTAGTTGTGAAACACCCTGTATATTTCAAAATAATTTTAAATTATGAACATTGCCTTCTCACACATTTTCCAAAAAAATTGTATCCACATCTTTCCGTTTCTGTATAATCCACCGAAGCCAATGAGGTGCGACACCCTGTATATCAGCGGCGAAGCTTCCATTGATGCGGGTGATGCATCCCTTCGAAATATTGTAATATGTTGGCTTATAAGCTTAAAAGTCACTGAGATATAATAAATTAAAATTCTCAATAATTAAAATTTTCAAATTAAATTCAATTTCAATTATTTAATGTGTATTGGTCGAGCTTTATACTAATAAATTATTCGGTGAGTGATGCTGTTTTTTAGATACATCTTGTTTGCGGTATAAAATAAAAATATCGTAGCGCGTCGCGCTGGCCGATTCTGAGTGCGGCTGTAAAAATAGAAATAAGTTTGCAATAATCCTTCAGTTTCGCTGAGAGCTTTGTTTTTTTTTTACCTAAGTTTAGTTCTTTTTTAAATTCATTTGATTATTTTTTTAGTCTGTTATACATATTTTGTATATTTTATTTTTGTAACTTCGAAATTAAAGACTAACCAAAAAAAGAAAAAACTTTATTGCGTTGGTAAAATGTTAATTTACTTAATAAAAAAAAATTCTGTGGCAAAAATTTGAAATTAAAAATCTAAAACACCGACTTACCCTGTATATATGAGGTAAAATAAGGCATTAAATAAAACAAAAGTATGTATAAAGCAAAAACTGTTGTTAATACTATTAGTAAAGCTACTTATTAATAATAAGTATAATAAAAAAATGTTTTAAATAAATTAAACATATTTAGTTATACAATTCTCCGCTCTCCATCGCTTGTCTGTAATTCTTGCCGCCTTTTTCTTGCGCGTCCAACTTAATCATGTCGTCGATTCTCAAAATCGTGATCGCCGCTTCTGTGGCAAACTTCAGCGACTTAATCTTCGAAATTGTTGGTTCTAAGACACCGGCTTTCTTATTATCTTTTACCGTGCCCTCAATGAGATCCAATCCTACATGCTTTAGATGTGCATGTTCGACCTTAGTTTGGCTGGAATTATGGTAGGCGCGCAATTTCGCTACTAAATCTGTAGCGTCCTTTGCAGCATTCACTGCCAGAGTTTTGGGAATAACCAAGAGACTTTTAGCAAATTCCGCAATAGCTAATTGTTCCCTGCTACTCAGTGTCGTGGCAAAGTTTTCCAAGTAAATGGAAAGAGCAGCTTCAACTGCTCCACCTGAAAGCAATAATAATTGTTTTTGTATTATATCTATTATTACTATTATTATAAACTTCAATTCCATCAGCTCAAAATAGCTATTTATGTAACAAGTTGCAAAATGAATGTGTTTTAAGCACGGGACGCAAAATTGTAACGAGGCGGAAGCCGAGTTGGACAATGCGTCGAGTGCTTAAAACAAAGAGTGTTTTCGCAACGAATTCCATACAAAATTTGTTGTGAAAGCGGATGATTTGAGATTTTCATGCTATTATTATTATTTATTTTTAAACATTTTTTTAAAATGTTCTGGTAATCGGTTTCTAAGGCATTGTTTATGCATTGTTTAATGACTATGGTTTAATGACAAAGTTCTGTCAGGTTCAAACGTCGCCCTATTTCCTACAAAGTTTTGTAAAAAAATGAGTGATAATGATGGGTCTTTGCATATTCAACAAGCTGCTGAAACTGCGCTATCCACGTTAGTGCCCGAGAAGTCGAAAAACTTATACGAGACGAGAAATTTTGACCGTAGATGCCATTAAAGATTGTCAGTCATTCATTAGTGTGAAGATTCCGAATACAAAAACTCATTTTCCAAGAGTGTTTACGATTACTGAGGGACCAATAGATGGTATCAATTTCTTACATGTATTTCGTAAGTACGCAAAACTTCGACCACTCAATGTGACACATCAGCGATTTTTCTTGACGTGTCGAAAAAATCAATGCTGTACCCTGCCAGTTGGAATCAATACAATAATTGGGGGTATGCCAAAAAAGATAGCGGAATTTCTTGGACTCTCCAATGCCATTGAATACACTGGTCATTGTTTCCGGCGCAGCTCTGCAACAATGCTGCAGATTCAGGAGCGGACATAACAGTTTTAAAGCGACATGGAGGTTGACGATCAAGTTCGGTTGCTAAAGGTTACACTGAATCGTGGGACAGAAAGATACGCCAAATAAGGGATTAAAAGCAGTTCACATAGAAGCAGAAGCTACCGGCATTGCCAGTACAAGAAATTTACTTATTCCGACTCCTACAACTTGCACTTCTCTTAGAGACGAAGAGTTAGATGCCTCTTGTATTCACTTCTGTCAATTTCGAAACGCTTTCACAAAAATATTTTTTTAGTTATTAAGATGGTTGTCAGATAGACACATAATTTCAGATAGTATAGAATGTTCAGCCATCGTTTAACGTCACGTCATATATTGTCAAACTCTCTCAATCCTAAATTTATACTCTACTAAAGTTACAATTTTACTTTATAATTTTTAGTTTATGACCGTTCATATTGTCTAAAAAATACATATATAATAGAATATATTAATAGAATATTCTAGCTACAGCTGACGGCAATCAGTTATATCCTCTCTGGTTATATCCATAGAAAAAGCCTAATAATTGCTTATAAAATTATAAACTTTTTATTTACAACCACTCTTTCTTTTGACGGATGACAATCAATGGCCAAAATTATATTACTCAGTACCCACAAATTTTGAAGCAAAGATATCAAACCGTATTTTAATGTTTGTTTTGAAGCATAATTAGTGGAAAAAGTTAAAAAGTGGTTAAGTTTTTCTATTAATTGAAAATTACTACGGGATTTTCCCAAAAAGCCGGGATGATTGGGAACAAGGCATATATGTCAAAAATAAACAAACAAAATCAAAAAATTATCGTTCGTCATAGTAAATTGCGCCGTTTTTATTTTCGATCGCGCTGTACTCTTTTGGATTTTGTACAAGGTAAGTATTTAGAATTATGTTTAAATAAATAACTAAATTTCAAAAACTATAATAAAAAAATAAATACTGTACTTACCACCAACAACAACGGTCTTCGATTCCAAAACTCTCTTGACAACACACAGAGCGTCATGAACTGACCTTTCCATTTCATCACAATAGAAATCATTCGGCCCACGTAAAATAATAGATGCGGCTGTACGCTGTTTTGGTCTAGAAAAAAAATATAATTTCCAATCTTCAGAGGTCAATTCGCTTTTAAATACTTACGTTTTAATAATAATCAATTCATCATCAGATACTCTTTCTTGATATACTTCAGCTGCTTCTCCGACCATACTAGCATCAAAAGATTCATCACCTAAACATGTTATATTATGTTGATTACAAATTATAAGCTAAAAGTGTTGTTTTACCATCCATGTTAGATAAAGACGTCAAAAATGTCGCTCCTGTTGCTTTCGCGATTCTTTTTAAATCGACCTTCTTAACTCTTCGCACTCCCATAGCACCGGCTTCGACAAAATACTTCAAACATAAATCGTCGATTCCTAAAAACAAAATTGTAATAAAATATCAAAATACACTAGAAAATATATGACTCGTACCTCCTGAAGTTAGTATAACATTAACACCAGTGGATAAAATTTTTTGGATTCTTTCTTTAGTGATGTCTAACTCTCGGGCTCTGATTCCCTCAAGCTTTTCTGGGTCGTTTATTAAAACCTAGTAATATAATGGACAAATCAATGTTTGATTTTTTTTAATATATTATCTAACTAAAATAATATTACTATACCTGGACACCCATTTTCATTTTAGCTTTCTGCAATGAAAAATCAAGACAAGCAATTTTTGCACCTACAATTTTCTTGGGCATAGCCTGACTAGCTACAGTGCAATTTAGGGCATATCCTTGTACCAAAATACTCTCCCTATAATAAACATTTTCTTATTGTTAATTTGAGAGAATGGTTTGGTAATATAAATATAAAAAAAAACAAACAAAAAATTCATATAACAAGAAACATATTATTTAATAATAATATCTATACTCTTCAAGGAGAGCATACCTAAGGTTCTACTGAAATAAATTCACCACAAAAAAAATATATCTGGTAAATAAAAATACAGGTTCTATTTTCAAATTATTAAAAAATAATATATATATATATTATATATATATATTTTATCATAATCCTTATTATACAGTTTCTTACCTGGCACTACAACCATGTGCTTTAAGAATATTCACTGCTTTAATGGGATACATAGGATTACCTCTGACATCTGTAATTTTCACTGCATAGGCAGCATCTACAACCATTGCAGAAAAGAAATCTGCATCACTGTGATAAAGTTAAGAAATAATAGGTATATTTTGGAAAAAATAAGTAATTACATATAAATATTTATACAACAAAAAATAAATGTAATTTTAAGGTAAATTTAAAGGATACGCTCCAATTATTTTAGAACTCATTGATGTCTTGGCAACATTTACAATACAGTCTTTACCCAACTCTTCAACAGGAATTGTAAGATGATCTTGTATATATCTGCATGCTTCTTTGCAAGCTAATCTATAACCACTGATTATAGAGGTAGGATGTATTTTGTGTTTTACTAGTTCGTCAGCATTCTGCAATATTGACAGTGGTGAGAATAAAATATTGCTTATAATTTACAATTACTTTAAGTAATTCTGCTGCAATAATGACTACTGAGGTTGTACCATCACCAACTTCTTCATCTTGAAGCTGAGCTAATTCAACAAGAACCCTGGCGGCTGGATGCTCCACTTCGAGGAGCCTTAGAATTGTGGCACCATCGTTGGTTACTGTAACATCACCTATGTCATCCACTAGCATCTTATCTAATCCGACTGGACCCAAGGAGCTTTTTACGATGTTAGCAATTGAAGCGGCGGCCATAACTTAAAATAATTGAATTATTATCTTAATTGCTAAATAAAATTACAAATTTATTGTTAACAAAATATAACTATACCTATACTTCAAACATTATAATCAATATAATAATACAGTACAAACATTTGAGCTTAAAAAAAATATATATGAAATGTAGAGGAAACTGCATATAATAAGCAAAAGACTAAAGTATTACCAAAATAGGAAAATTCGAAGACATCACATGTCAGCTTAGAAAATTTCCAAATAGTTTACCAAAAGAACTTCAATTTTAGATACTTCATGGGAGAGTTAATTAAAAAGAACAAACTTTAAAAGTTAATATAACACTAACTTCTTACAAAATTACCTATAATGTAAAAATACAAATGCAAGTGCATTATAAATATAGGTTATATAGGAAAATAAACGAAAACTAATAATTTTAATTGATTGTGCTTACCATTTTGTGTACGGACTGAAGCCCCCGATTGCCTCTGACCTGCTACGGATAATGGACTCGCTAAAATCGACATTTTATTTCACAGACGGCAATTTTAACACACCGTTTTCAGAAAAACAAGGAACGGCAAAAAATCAAAGAACGAAGAATTACCATGGATAAAAAAACTGATAAAATGACAGTAGTATATGGTGGTAGAGGTGGGCCAAGGAGGTGGGCAGCATGGTGGGCAGGTCATATGACCTACTAGCTTTGAAGGTAGATTTAGATCATATATAATTTGATCCAGGGTTGTATATTATTCATTTTCTTATTCATACTAGGTTTCATATAAATTCTGACTAAATTTCTAAATTAAGACAAAGATAGATGTCAAGTTAACCTCTCTGTTTAGTGTCGGCCATGCAACGTAAGGACAATCTTTTTAGTTAATAATGGTGTATTTTCATCGAGAAAAACGGAAAAAAGCAATTAAAAAATGAAGTTGAACGTGTCCTATCCCGCTACGGGATGCCAGAAGTTGTTCGAAGTGGTGGATGAGCACAAAATTCGTATCTTTTACGAAAAGCGCATGGGCCAGGAAGTAGAGGCTGATCCGCTTGGAGATGAATGGAAAGGCTACGTTTTGAAAATCGCCGGAGGTAATGACAAACAAGGTTTCCCCATGAAACAGGGTGTCCTCACTAACAGCAGAGTAAGATTATTGTTATCCAAGGGTCACTCCTGTTACAGACCCAGACGTTCCGGAGAAAGAAAGAGGAAATCAGTTAGAGGATGCATTGTAGACGGTAACCTTTCCGTTCTTGCCCTAGTCGTTGTCAGGAAAGGGGAGCAAGAGATCCCCGGACTTACAGACAGTACTGTTCCCCGTCGTCTTGGTCCCAAACGTGCCTCCGCGATCCGTAAGCTTTTCAACTTGAGCAAAGACGATGATGTCAGACAGTACGTCGTCAAACGTCCGCTCCCCTTGAAGGAGGGCAAGAAGCAGAGGTACAAGGCCCCCAAGATCCAGCGTTTGATCACTCCAACTGTATTGCAAAGGAAACGTCATCGTCTAGCTTTGAAGAAGAAGAGATGTTTGAAACGCAAGGAGGAAGCTGACACCTATGCTAAGCTGTTGGCTCTGAGGAAAAAGGAGTCCAAGGCCCGCAAAGAGGAAGCTAAGAGGCGTAGGTCTGCCAGCACTCGTGAAAGCAGATCCAGCACCCATAGTAAATAAGTTTTTTCATGATATTTCATGACGGTATAACATCTATGTGTATTTGACACGGAATAAAGTTTTTTCTCAATACTATTAACGTTTTTTTATTTCTTAAACCAATTCAAAACAAAGAAATGAAAAGAAATTGTACATTTTTTATTCACTATTGAATTTTGGAAAATACTCCACCGTAATGATTTACTGGTTGCATAAAATCCACATTTTCTGTTTTAACCTTACTTTTTTGTTTACTTGTCAAAATTCCAGAATTTTCATGTTCTTTAAGATTAGAATTTAAATCTGTACAATGTCAGATGAAAATGCATCACCTACAGTTAATAAGGACGATGAAAAGAACCGGGAAAAAGTTAAATCCAGAGCGATAGTAAAGTATTCCGCCCCAAAACCTGCTACTTTTGCTAAACTTCAATACAATACTGATCTGAATTTGTCCATTCCGTGAGGTACATGAGAGACAAATATACAAGAAATAAGTATAACCATTCACCTAATGAAATTAGAGTAAGATCTTGTCTAAAAATACTGATATTTTTTTAGTAAATGATTTTATTCTTACAGGTAAACGGTCCCCTAAGAAATCTGGAGGAATTTGCTTATGATTTCGGTTGTCCTGTTGGTTCATACATGAATCCAGTCAAAAAATGCCATATTTGGTGATTTTATCACCAAATCACTGATTATATTATAATTATAATTTATATGTATTATTGTATAAAGCACTTGACTTTTATAGTTTTAATTCTAAAAACGTTTAAAAACTTTATAAATAAACATTTTACAACTAACGATTTGTTGATTGAATTCTATAAGAAAAAAAAATCGCGTCCTTAGATCGCGTCCATGTTGCGCTCTTTCAAATTTAAAATATTTACCGCTCTTTTTATGTTGACAGATTGCGAAAACTTGGAGCTTGGCGCTTGACAATTTGTCAAGAAGACAAAGATTAAATTTGTTATCTATGGAGGGGCAACGGCCCAGCTACGTCGAAACACCGGTTCCCATTAGAACACCGAAGTTAAGCGACGTAAGGCGATGCTACTTGATGGACGGGTGACCGGTTCGAAACTTTGTATCGTGCTGTTGTCCAAGGGAAAAGTGTAAAATCTATTGATACCATAGACTTAAAATTTTATTTTAAGTCTATGATTGATACACACTGCTCATTCACGCCGGTTCGAGGCCGGATGAGATGGGATATCTCGTGAGTAAGAGTTAATTTAGACACTTCCTAATAAAGCTTGCTTCATATAGACGCGAATCGCGAATTGCGAAAAGCGATTCGCCAAAAAATATTCGCAAAATTTGGACCTATTTCATACAGTCGCGAATTTTTAGGGACATTTCATTTTTGCTCCACTGAAAGTTACCAAAAAAAAATCATAACCTGAGATAACTTAATTTGTTTTATACATATTTATTCGTGTTTACGATCTTTATTTTATATTTTATAGCATACAACATGAGTTTAAATTTGTTTAATAATTATGAATATCGATTACGATTGTGGGATTGGAATAGAATAAGGTGTAAAATTGCCATTTACTTATTGTTAAAACGTAGAAGAGAACGGGTTTATAGCACAGGTTTATAGGTCATTTATGGGCCATTTGGGACATGTGAAATATTCAAATTTCGTAAGCAACAAGGTGCTTGTCGCAGTTTAATTCAAGAAATAAGGAAGAAAAATGAGAAAAAATTTAGGAATTTTCACAGATTGTCTGTATAGGAGTTTGATAACTTGGTTGAAGTTGAAAAATTGTCACCATATATATCAAAAACATATTATGTACGAGAACCCATTTCAACTGGAGAAATGCTTTCAGTTACTTTGCGGCAGCGTCGTCAAAATAATCGATAACCGGATCACAACACCATTCTACGCAAACGCGTACCTTAAAATCGCGCGAATATTCGCAAAAAGTTGATAACACTTTAACTTTCCCGCCCCCCAAATTTTAAATCTTGCGAATCGCCAAAATCTTAAAATTTCTGATAGCGCCGCCATGATCAGTAAAATTGGACCAATGAGAGCAGTTTCGCAAAATCGCAATTCGCGATTCGCGTCTATATGAAACAAGCTTAGTCGGTAGGCCATTGACCATGATATGGCCGAGGACCGCGGTTCGGATTCCGCGTAAAGAAAGTAGGTCCCGTCCAGTTTAGCCATTGCAGCAGAAAGGAGACGTTAACTTGAACCTCACACATTATCTATGGATAGTATGTTTTGTAGTTAACTTCTGTTTTCTGTATTGTTTATTTTATTAATTAATAATTAATTGTAATTAATTTATTAAAATAAAACAAATAGTTGTGGGCTGGAATATCAATTACAAAAATGTTTTTACGATATTATTCCTTAATATACTGTACTTTAGTAGGTCTAGTATTAAGTGATATGCATAAAGAATACACAAAAGATGCATATAAAGAAAAAACAGAACAGTATGAAAGTCCTGGTGAAGATTTTAGACCTATATCATTAAAACACTTGGATAGACCTTTTAGAATGGCCAAATTAAATCTATTGTGGTCCAAAGCTGTTCATGTAAGATTACCTACATTTTCTTTTAATCTACTGAAAATTTATAATTCTCATTTGTGTTTAGAGATTGACAGAAGAAAAGCTCAAATCTATTTTTGGGGAACTTAAGTTACACGACAAAGAGGAAATCACATGGAAACATTTAAAAGCAGAAGGAAAGGATAAAGATGGATTGCAAGAAGCAAAGTTACGAGATAAACTCAAAGATATTATGATAAATTATGGGTTTTTAGATCAAATTGATGATGTTAACAATGAGGATAAAGTGTATCCATATAAGGTAGTTAAAAAAACAAATATAAAGAATATTTATCAATTTTTATTTCTAACTGAATATATTATTAAAAATGTTATAGGCATTAAATGATGCATCAGATAAATATATTAACAAGAGCTTATTCAAAGACAAAAAATTAAACAAGTTATGGGAGAAAGCAGCTAAAGCTGGATTTAGCAAAGATGAGTTGGCTGCTTTGAGAGAGGAATTCCATCATCATCAAGACAAAATTGAGCAATATTATGCACTTCTGTATAAGACCAAGAGTGATGATCCCAGTGATACAGCAGATGAAAGTAAAAATTATAATATAAATTGATTTTCCAGTAACAGTATGTTTTTGCAATTAATTTTAGATACGGTTGATGATACTTTGGATAAATTTAACAGAATTGAAACATTAGAAGAAAGAGAAAAGCACAAGGATTATTTAGATAGAGCAAACATGATAAGGCAACAACACAGAGACATTAAAGATGGATATGATCATTTAGATAAGTTAGCTGCATCTGGGCCAGCAAGTAAAGAATTTGTAGAGCCTAAAGTTCAAGGTTAATTTTATTTTTCACTATCCAGTGTTCGTTGTTTAAGGTTTTATTTAAAAGAAAACTTAACATTAATATTTTGAAAAATGTGCATTAAAACTAAATATCTTTTACATTGTAGGCTTGTGGCGGATAGCACTTCAAAGCAACTTTACTCCTTCTGAACTACAGTCTTTGAAAGAAGAACTTCTTCATTATGAGAACAGGCATAATGAAACAGAAACAAATATATACCTATAATTCATAGATTTTACATTTTTCAGATTATTAAAATTGCGACATATGCAAGCTGATCATGCAATAAAGGAGGACAAATATAATAAAAAAGAAAAAATTACAGGAGAGAAGTCACATGGATTTAAAATGGCAGAGGAAACCATCCGAAAACAAGCCAGAAAAGTTGATAAGATACATCTAGATATCGAAACTAAAATTATGCAGAGGCATATTGAGTTATAAACTAAGGTCTGAACGTTTATATCATAGATATTAAGTAGGTAACCAAAAATGTGTACTAAGAAGTAATATAAATGTGCAATATATGTAACAAATGTTGATGCGATTATTAAATATAGTAACAAATATATTTAGGGCTAACCAACTAATAAAATCAGGTTAACAGTTAATAAATATTTATTTATCAACTATAAACAGTATTCAACAAATTTTATTATTATCATCTATTAGTTGTAATTTCATTTTTCAACTCGATCAACTTTAGCTATTTCTTCTTTTAAAAAGTTCTTACTAAACCTGCGAAACTTAAAATTCTGCACAAATTTTAATTCACCAGTCCAGTTTTTCAACAAATTCAATTGGACTGGATTTAACAGATCAGGTAATTCTAAAAATAAGAAGGATATTTTACATTTTTTTTTTAGTTTTAGGTAACAGTATTTCAATAAAAGTAAAAAAAAATAGTAAAGGTGTTTAGATCTTTTTCAGTAATCATTGAAATATATTTGTTACCTATTCCACATGTTTCAAACTCTTTTTCATCAGATTTGATTGTGAGATTAATAATGTCTTCCCTATTTGCATGTTGCCTATTCTTTCTTTGACCTATTGAGTGCTTTAATTTAATTTGTTCCAATTCCTCATGAAACCGATCTGAAAATATCATATATATTATGAAGAGTTCAAAAGGGATATACACATAATACCTAGATATTTTATTATTAATAGTTCAATTTCCTTTGGGCCACATGAGTTTTGATCTTGAATTAAATTATCTCTAAACCATATTAGTTTCTCTCCCAGTATATTATGTTTGATGGTTGTTAATAATTTTGCTTTATCTTTTTTATTATTCCTAATGAGTAGATAGGTAGAGTTTAATAGATGATTATATTATGATTACAGTTTTTAAATTATCTTACCTTGTTAACTTTTTAGTTAAAGCTTTAGTTCTTCTGCTGTCAGGATGTTTACATTTTTCCAGCTGCTTTACTTTTGGCTATCGTAAAACATATCTTTAGAAGTTCACTATTTTCATAGTTCATTAGCTGCTTAAAAAACTAAATTAAAACTTACCATTTTCGTAATTTTATGTTGAATAGATCACTTTAGTCTATATCAAAAACTGGTTTAAAACTAATCGGTAGTAACTTGATTGCACCCTGATTCCGGTTCTAACTAGTGGGGCCCTAAAATTTGAGGAGACTAAACATAAAAATTTACTAAGCAGAAACTATAATATACTGTGTATTCGTAATGTTTTTTAAAATGCCATTTAAAAATGCATAAAATTTATTTGCGACAAGTTCCATAGACAAGTTATAGACAAGTTGAAAATATGAAAATCAAAGAGAGGTTAGAATTGTTTTGCGCCACAGAATATACTACCTTTTGCGATAATTTGGACCAGAGATATAGAAGTAGGTTAGATTTGTTGGACCCACTTCTGTGCCCCCTTCATGCTTCTAGAGACTATTTTTTTTAGGACACTGGCCGAATGTCCTATATAAGTTCAGGCTATTTAAGAGGAAAGAAGAGAAAATCTTTGTCATATCAGTGGTTGTCTATGTTACGAACCATAAGAATAAAAAGAAGAAAAACATTACTTTTATTCCGTGGTTAGGGTCTTTTAAGACCTAAATTACGAAAAAGAAGAAGAACTGTACGTGGCGCCATGGTTGGGAGAGTGAGAGAATTTTGAACTAAAGTGTTTCCAAGATTGCCAAGATATTAGCGAAATCCTGAAACTAATCAAAATCAATATTTTTATTAAGTCTAAACCGTTACAAAATCATGATAAATCTAATAAACAGATAATACAAACTTTGGTTTCAGTTTCAGTACATTAAATAATATATTTTCTTTTAGAAACAGCATTATTTATGCAGCAAAAAATGACGATTCTGTTTAACATGTGTACAATTTGACAACGTTGGCAGTGCGCTTTTGTTAACGGTGAGTTGTTTATGTCATAGTTATGTCGCTCTTACAATTTTTCTTATTTTTCTGTGCATTATCTGAGTTTATTCTGTTCCCTAGAGCCTTTTTATCTCCTGAAAATAGTATTCATTATTTTGCCTGTTTTCTATAGTTTTTTTTCACTTTCAATTACATCATCATTAAGACATACATATTTTTCTAATTTTCATAATTTTCTTTTTCATAATCGAATAATATTGGGTGTATTGGGGTGTATCTATAGAAGTATTGCTTTTTATCCATTTTCATCCTATTTTTCCTCAAATCATCCCTCATAATGCCATTTTTTCCAATTTGGAATATCATATAAAATGGAATATCATTTATGACTCTATTCACACTCTTTCTATTCATTGTTTTATTTATATATCTGTATTGGATTAGTGTAATTTTTTGGAGTCACATTTCTCAGACTTTTCTAAGACATAATATTTTAGCATTTCTATTTTGTCTGTGTTATATTTTTTTATTCGTTTTCATGTCATTTTTTTTCAATCTATTTATAGGTCGTCTTATATGTATATAATTTCTTTTTGTGTCATTTTTTCTGATACTTTTCTAAGTTCATCACACATTTTTATTCCCTAAGGCACTTTATTTCTATTGTCTATCTCGCGTTGTAACTCGCAACTTCCCTGAACGGTCTGTTTTTTTTTACAGAACAGACAGCCACTAAGCAAAATTTTCAGCGTTTAGTCAGCCGCTGTGTCCGCTGAACGCGCACAAATGTGTCTTCATTTAAAATCTGTTCTGTGATATGGCAATGTTTGCAGTAGGAACCCATGTACATATCTATATCATAGTATATGGGCGCGTTAAAGGAATACAGTCGATAGGGTCCGGCAATAGTGCATCGGGCATATATACAAAATTTCCAAGTTATTTAATATAGGAGCTACGACGCACCTGTATAACAATAAAAAATGTTTGTCAAGTTCACTAGTTGTCAAGAGTCCAGTTTAAAATCAAAATAACAACGGAAAATAAAACTTCAAGTTAAAGAACAAGATGAATGCTATATTATACTAACCAGTTCAAAATATATTTACAAATAACAAGTTTTTAAAATCATTTTAATAATAAGGTCTTCTAGGATTGTTCTGAAAAAGAAAATAAATATAGTTTTTAATAATAATAATAGATTAAAAAAATACCATGGGATTTGGTCTAAATCTATAAGCAAGCATCATTCTCTTCCTGTAGGATTCATATTCGTCTTCGTCTTCAGTTGCTTCCCCAATATTTAATCCTAAACCCTGCGTATTTTCTCTAGGAGCTCCTCTAAATATCAAAAAAGTATAATAATTATTTTAAATCCACGCCTTTTCTTGTTTGATACTGTTTGATGTGGTACCACAGTTAGTACCTACAGTTAGAAACTTACTTATTTATAGGCTCCACGATACCGGCACTGTTCTGCCCCAGACCTTCTCCTTCTGTCCAGCCGAGTTTCTGAAGCATTTTGAAACCGATATTGTCCTCTTTAATTTTGAACTCTTTGTAATCGGAAAAATTAGGCTGGCGTCCTTCTTTCACCGCGCTGGACTTCTCCAAAAATCTTTTCAATTCTTCGGGAGGCAGAAAATCGCCAATGTGATGCTTGCCTTCCGCTTGCTTTGTCAATTCAGTGGCCCATATTTCGGTAGCTTGCATTTCCTACACAAATAAAGAGCCAGATGACGATAAGGATAAGAAAACAAGCAATATAATAATCTTATTACTGGCATTTGACTGGTTTTGCATTGTTACATGTTCAGTTTTAATTTAAAAATATATTTGTTACCAATTAAAATTTTTAGTTACGTAATCGAGGGCGCGATTTTTAGATTCATAGTTGGCAACCAAGTTTTGACACTTTAGTTTCGTATTACGAGTTTTTGGTTTAAATAAATAGTGTTGTGATACTTTAAGTTTAAAAATGTTTAATAGCAGACCTTGCAGTCGAACATTGTTCTTTTTAGAACCTCTTTTAGTGCGAAGTGTACTTTTAGTGAGCAAAGTAATATAAATTCATACCTTTTCTCTTAGTTTGTGTTCCCAAGTACCACCTTCCGTTTCTTCGTCGGAATCGTATTCATACTTATTCTTACCCTGGGCGTGCAACCTAAAAATGTTTGAAATGCAAAAGATCGTATTATTGCTAAAAACTCTTGTTACCTTTCAAGTTCCTCCCTCTTTTTGATCATATCTTGATAGAGTAAATGAATTTTATAGTTGTCTTCGGCCTTTTTCCAGTCCTCTTCATCTAGGTTTGTCGAACCGTACGTTTGGGCGACGTACCTCAGCAATGCTGGATCTTGTCGCGTTACTTTCGAAAGTAACGTAGTCGGTCCTGATGTAACTGCAATGTGTGACATACAAGAGAAAACCCATATAAAAGAAAATGGGTGTCAAACCAGAGTAAGTGAATCGACGAGTAGCGACAGAAACCGTCGGCTCTTTTGATGTGGTGGGACCAAATTTTCTTTCTCTCTCTTTTGACGTGTTTGACAGATAGACTACCTATTTAACTGTTCAGCTTATGAAATGGTCTTATAAACATGGTATACACTGCCCACAATTTGAAGTGGAATTAATTAAAAAATAGAAAACAAATTTCTTGCAGTATAGGTATATAATAAAATTATATAAGGATACTTGCCACTTAACTGCTGATATCGAAATTTAATTCTACGCTGTGTTTGTCATAATGTGGATCAACCTGCTCTCACTACCGGTTTCGGAGCCCTACTCCATCATCAGGTGAACTTGGGCAGATCCACAAAATGACAACCACAGCGCAGAGTAGTTAATTCCGACTTGTCGGAAAGTATCGGTTAGGTATTAAGTCCCGAACGGGATATAGCCGCGTGCAATGGTAGATTGGTTGGTGGATTGTGGATCTGCCCAAGCTCACCTGATGATGGAGTAGGGCTCCGAAACCGGTAGTGAGAGCAGGTTGATCTACATTATGACAAACACAACCTAGAATTCAATTTCTATATCAGCAGTGGCAAGAATCCTTATAATAAAGTTTTATACATATTTTTTTTTGTTTTGTTTAATCCTTATTTCTAAATTTGTGTGAATGTATAAAATATCTTACAGCTAATACATAATTAAAAAAATGATTCGTTGCCTGAAGCATACTTGAAATAGAGTATACAGAGATATTTGATAAATGGCAACAGTGACAACTTCGCTTCTTCATATGACAGATAACCTACTTATTTCGCGCAGCCGCAAAGAAAATTGAAAACCGGACTGTCGCTACTCGTCGGTTTACTTACTCTGGTCAAACTTTTGTTGAATAAAAAAAATGAATAATTAAAAAAAACATTAGAAATTATGGTTTAGGATCTTGTTTGTAATTTTTGTAATACTAGGTATCTAAATTTACCTGGACGAATTGGACTAATTGTGGGAACAATAACTGGAATTACTCCAGGAGGTTTAATATTGGGATCTTTCTCACCCCATCTACTTTTTCTTTTCTTCTGTTTATTCTCTGAATAAGTATCATTTTCCTGAAATAAGAAGCGCTCTTAATTATCCAAAGATTATAAACAATAACAATCTGTTATTTTAATTCAAAAGTATATTGTTTTGTCTGATATTTTTTGTATGGCCTCTGTCGAATACATATTTTCTTACTGGATAGACTATATTCTAATTGAATTATAATATAGTTTCTTTTCTATATTTACCTTTATCTTTAAATTAAGTATTACTTACATTTTTCATTTCCTCTTTAATTTCAACATAATTATCGTCCATTTGGTCCCTCTCGTCTTCCTCCAAAGCCATCTCAGGTTCGTACATTTCTTCCAACTCCCTTTTAGGTTTAACTTCTTCTTTCATGTCTTCCTTTTCTCTCTTGTACTGTTCTAAAAGACCCGTGTACTGCCGATAGGCCGCAGATTCTCTATGGAACAGAAACCTGAAGAATGTGTAGAAAAAACGAAACGTGTAACTCAACGTGAATTGTATAAATATCAACTATTTATATTGTAATAGATATTTTGCTTTTTTGAGTGGGTAATAAGGCTACTTAAGGTAGATTTGGTGGAATATTAAATCAACAAAAATATATTTTTTGAATAAGGAGTGCTGGTCTTGTTCAAAATTATATTAAGCTACTAAATAAAAGCAAATTGTATTTTTGTTATAAAAAAAAATCTAAACTAATCCCTTCATTGCTATATTAAGTAAAAATGTGTGAGTAATTGAATTGAAGTGTATGAAGTGTAAAAATGTCTATTCAAATTAATCGGCCAATGCATAATCATTTTCCTTATAAAAAAGTAATCTAATACTAAAGGCTGGCAAAGGTTAGTCTTGGGTTGAGATTTCCGTATGTAAGAAGAGTACAATGCGTTTATAATGTACTGAACAAAGAGAGAACAGTAAACACGTTGCCAAACTTATGAAATAAACCGAGGAACTGTGCACATTGCTACTAGACGTGGAAGGGGATATAGTAGATTCGTCGCGGTCGACCCAATCAGTACCTCTGTCAGTACTTCATGCGATCAGCTTTACGATTTAATTACGCCTCGTGATACTTTATTTGTTTATTTATTAACGAGTCGTTGTAATTTTCCCTATAGCTTGTAAATTTTTAAGTGCAAGTTAGAAACACTTGCATTTTTGGTAAAAATAAGTGGAATTGAGTTGGTGTTCGACAGTGGTCGCGCTATTAGAACTCTGAATTCAAAAATCGATATCTCGAAATCCATTAGAAATAATTGATATTTTTTTCAAAAACTTTCTTAATATCTTTGCTATATTTTCTTCGCAGACAGTATGTGAAAATCTTTATAAATAAAAAAGTTACATGATTGCTGAAAATTGCTATGCACTAAAATTAAACGGATGGAGTTTTTTAAATTTTTGAATGAAAAAAAAACAAGCCCATCGAATTTTTCTTATTTAAACATCTTGTAAAAGATCCGACCTTTAAAATAAAAAAGTTTCAATATCTAAGGTAGTTCTTAAGTTATCGCGTGCTACGTGTTAAAAAGTTGAGTTTTCAAATTATCGCGATTACTGACGTTTTCTCGTTATTAAAAAAAATGGACACCCTAACGATATCCTTATGATTCCATTTTAGATGCTCGGAAACTAATCAGAGTAAAATAGAATATCTAATAATTTTATCTAGTTATCTTTTCGAAAAAAAAGTCTTTTAAAAATAAGCGGATTGCGATCGTGATTTTACTTTACTTGATAGGGAAAGGCGTACCGGGGAAATGTGGCAACGCCGCAACACCACACCGTCGCATTTCTCTCACTCCGACTCAATAAGGTTCCTATGCGATTTCCTTCCACACATGTAAATACCGACCCAAAAGTAAGAGTTGCCAGCACGGTATAAATGTCCTATAGCAGAAAATATGATAGTTCCGGATTTCGACGTTCTTTGTCGTGAATAAGCATTTACTGTGATAAACTCTGCATTAAGTTTTATTTAAAATATTTGGATATTTAAGGGAGATTAATGTTATATTATCTGATCTATTTTAAAACTTACTTAACTTTCCCGTTATTTCAATTACTTTTTAGTAATACATTTTAGCACTATTTAAAAGAACTATTTAAATTTAAATTGACAAAATATTAAAAAAAATTTTTAATTAAACTAAATTAAGATTAGTATGTATTACTTGAACCAAATTATTTTTGTCATAAAAATACTGATATTGATTGATTTAACCATTTCGAATTTCATAACAGTTAAAAATATAGTGTACGTGTCAAAAACTAATAAAAAAAACCGTAAACATAATTTTAACGAAAGCAAATTGTGAAAAAAACAAAAACAAGACCAGCTAGAACGGCCAATAATCGAACACGAACGAGGAGACTCCCCTCGCCGTTGCCCCGTTCCTACGCCTATGAGCTAAATAAGATAAATACTTATGCTACTTTCGCTAACGGTCGGAGAGAAGACGGACAGGTCTAGAATCGAGCTGTCCTTTCCTCTCCTCAGTGTTTGCGCTTTCAAAGTTCGGGTTTTATTGGGGGTGTGTGCGAGCGTCGCTCTCTGTCGTACCAAAGGTTCGGGTCTTGGTTTTTTTTCTGTCGCACCACGTCCTCGACGGAGGGGCCGCAGTCGGCAACCATACGGGCCAAGGCCGCCATCGCTTCGAATTCGGCGCCACCTAGGGAGAAACTCAGGAACACGTCACTAGTGGCCCCAACTGGCACAGGGATGACTTGGGGGGTGAGGGTGATATACGCGAGACAGTTGTTTTATTAGAGACATTAATGAAAATGAAAAGAGTAAAACATTTGTAACAAGTATTATCTTATGAAAATAAATCAATTAAATAATTAAAAGTTGTTGGTAATTTCTTAGCTTAAGAGTCCATTTCACTAGTCCGAAAAGTATCAAAATAAGCGTTCGGCATTTAACGTTTTATGTAGAACTGGCTAGGTATTTTTACACAAATTAAGAAGGAAATTAAAGATAAAGGATTATGCTATATCCGTATTGTAGCACATTTTTAGACAACTTCTTTATTTTTAAGATTTTGATGGTCAAACATCAACAAAATATTCCTAATGTTTGGACTAAATTTTCTCGAAAATAAAGACAATTTAAAATTCCGTTACAATACGGAAATAGATTAAGTTTTGTGATTACAGTGATATATAATTTATATGGTTTTGTAACAAATTGCTGGCTATTTTATGACAAATACTGAAGCTCTGCAAACCTCAATCACAGATCAAGCCTCAATCAAAGCACGTGTTTTTGGAATTTTGGGTGTGGCTTAACACGACAGGACGGGCTAAGCCTTCGGCAGATTTCTGAAATATAATAGACATATATTTCCTTCAGCCACACACCGGTCACACACCCGATTTACCCTACCCCTTAATATTAAAGATACAGAATGTTAAACTTTAAAAAAGTTAATTTTTTGTAATTATTTTAAATACTATGTAGCTGATTTTTGTCAAATTGATCAGTATTAATTGTAATAGTAAGAGACTTTTAGTAAGAGAGTAATTTTGGCCTAACTTGGCGTCCCAGAAGATTCCTGGGACACCCCTGGCCTGGGGATCCCCCTAACGAAAGTAAATCTGAAAACTGTATGCCACTGACTTCTTTGAAATTATTATATGTATGTATAATTTTTTTTAGATTAAGCAACTAAAAGTAAATCTTTATTTTTCTTGTATCATATGCCTATCTAGTAGCAAAAAAAATAAAACCAATTCATTGAAAGTCACTGAAGCACTAAACTTGATATCTTAGTAAAAAGACACATCCTGTTCTTTAAAACTATGCATTTCAGGACCCATGTTTATAGGCTATTTTTGAAATATACCTTGATGGTTATCCGACTTATGTCGTCTGGATTTTAACGCGTGTGATAGAGAAAAACATAAATGACCGGTTAACAGACAGAGAGACAAAATCAAAAGCGGCATACAGTGTTGCCGGTTTCTTACGTTTGTAGGAAAATGTGCGTAGAAAAATCTATTACAGCTGTGGTAAAATAAGTAACTAATAGTGAAAAATAAAGTTCCAACCCTAGATGAAACATTTTTCGTAAACGCCTACTTGTACGCTTTGAAATTTTCATGCAAAATCCGGCAATACCGCATAGAAGAAATGTGTCGACCCAATTTTTATCTTTTTTTAATACATTTGATTTTCCATTAAGCTCTATATCACTGTCTTACACGTTAAAATCCAGATCGCACAGTTTCGACTGGTTTCGATAACCAAATGGGTATTATATTTGTACAGCCTTTTGAATCTCTATCCCTTAGTCCTCTTCTAACCCAAGTTAATTGTTCTTTGATCAAGCAAAATATAGAAAATAGTTTTATGATAAATTTTGATATTGCTTTATAGACTGCACCACAGATTTTATACATCATTTCAGCTTACCGAATAAATTTGTTTTATAATATGTTTATGCCAATGCTATCTGATACTAGACTGTATACCATAATGTCTCTAATAATGCCACTGTAATCCATAGTCTTCATAAAACACTATGTTATACTAAGGGCTGGCAAAGGTTAGTCTTGGGTCGAGATTTCCGTATGTAAGACGAGTATAATGCGTTTATAATGTACTGAACAAAGAGAGAACAGTTAACACGTTGCCAAATGTATGAAATGAATCGAGAAACTGTGCACATTGCTAAGAGACGTGGAAGGGGATATAGCAGATTTGTCGCAGTTGACCGGTCGAGCCAATCAGAGACCGTCTCCCAATCAGTACCTCTGTCAGTACTTAAAGTTCTAGAGAAAGGTGTATATCATGCGTTTAGCTTCGCGATTTAATTACGTCTCGTGATACTTTGTTTATTTATTAACGAGTCGTAATTTTCCCTATAGTTTGAAAATTTTTAAGTGCAAGCTAGAAACACTTGCATTCTTGGTAAAAATAAGTGGAACTGAGTTGGTTTTCGACAGTGGTCGGGCTATTAGAACTCTGAATTCAAAAATCGATATCTCGAAATCTATTAGAAATAATTGATTGTAGTTTTTCAAAAACTTTCTTAATATTTCTGCTGCATTTTCTTCGTAGACAGTAAGTGAAAATCTTTATCAATAAAATAATTACACGACTGCTGAAAATTTCTATGCTCTAAAAGTAAATAGATGGGTTGTTTACAATTTTTGAATGGAAAAAAACAAACTTATCGATTTTTTCTTAAGTAAACATATTGTAAAAGATCGTATCTTCAAAATAAAAAAAAAAGTTTCAATATCTAAAGTGTTTCTTGAGTTATGGCGTATTATGTGTTAAAAAGTTGAGTTTTTAAATTATCGCGATTACTGACGTTTTCTCGTTTATAAAAAAAATGACACCTTAAAGATATCCTTATAATTCCATTTCAGGTGCTCAGAAACATTTCTAATGATTTTATCTATAGGGAAATTAAAATAACTTTGGTTGTACATCATAATACGACCACCAGCAAACTCCATAAGACGACGCATGGCGTCATTGATGACGTGCAACCAAAGTTATTTTAATTTCACTAAAGTTATCTTTTCGAAAAAAAAGTCTTATAAAAATAAGCGGTTTGCGATCGTGATTTTATTTTACTTGATAGGAAAACGCGTACCGGCAACGCCGCAACCGCACTCCGTTGCATATCTCTCACTCCGACTTAGTAAGATCCCTATGCGATTTACTTCCACACATGTAAATACCAACCCAAGAGTAACAGTTGCCAGCACGGTATGTCAAATTTTGATTCAGAAGTATAAAACCAGCTACATAAAAATTATCTATACATACAGGGTGAGTCATAAATAACATTTTAAGGGGTAGTATATTTCGACCTCAGAAACACCATTTTTTAACAAAAAATTTGGAAATTTTTGAAAAATTGTTTGCATTTTTTTTAGTTTTTAGTTAAAAACCATATTTTCTTGATTTACAAGAAAGAAAACCTACAAAAGATCTAGTGGTTCTCAGAATTTCAGGAAAAAAATTTTTTTTTTGGAAATTTGCAAAGTAAAATAACTTGGTTATTTTTGCACTTATATGAAAAACGGTAAAGAGAAAATATGTTTCTTTTGTTGAGATCTACCAGCCCTGGAAATATTTGCATTAATTTAAGACTCACCCTCTATAAAAACTAAAATGTATTTATTCAAAAGAGTAGTTCGATAAATTCACTTATTCATATTTAAAAATGGAGCTTTCTTTTGCACAATTTAGGAATTTAAACTAAGTTTTGATTTTTTTTTGTGACAAAAATGTTTAGATATGGGTTAAGTCATCCCTGTTCATTATAATAAAATATATATAATTATTTAGAACATATAAATACATATGTCTTTTGTTCTTGTTATTAACAAAAAACAAAAACAAATGACATTAAAATATCTCTGTGACTGGACGAATTTGTTTTGTACTATATTACATATCAAATTTATAAAAAATACTACTCTTATTATTTCATTCAGAGTATCAGTGAAACCTGCTCTATGAAAGGGCTACATTTTAAAATCTAAAATCTAAATTTGTGTTTAATGACATATCTAGAACACCTTTAATCACAGAGATATATACCAGTATAGTTCATTCACATTTTAGTGAAGTACTCTAACTAACCAGAAAACAGTAAGAAATGTTAAAAAAGTTTCAAATAAAATTCCTGAAACAGATATATTAAATTACTACTCCTACTAGAGCCCTACCTGCTAGCTGGTCCTTGAATCCGGCCTGAACCATGCTGGGAACCCCCAAAGCTGGCGGAGGCATGTTCATGTTAGGCAGCAGAGGCGGCGCCTGACTGACGAAGTTCGGCGGCGGCTGAGAAACGTCACGGGCGGCCTGAACTGTCACCAACGATGGAGGCGGCACGTTAACGGTCATTCCGGGAGGCGGCAACACCGGCTGGGACATTAACGAAGGAATGTGAGCGGTGGAGGACGATTGCTGACCGGGTACAGGTTGTGAAATGGCAACGATGTTAGGGTTGTTAGCGATATTGTGAACTAGAATTCCTTGAGACTGGTTATTCGAGATGAAATTCGCCTGAATCAAAGCGTTAGGCGGGGCCATCGCCGTGCTAACCTCCGACATACTGGGGGGAGGTATGCTTTTGTTGGGCGGGGGAATATTTTTGATGAAATCGGGATCGGAGACGGTCATCGTGTCCGCTCCCTCGTTGGGAGTGGGAATGGCCAAGAGGTCTAGGGGTTTAGGGTTGGGGATCTCGTTGAGTTGGAGTGAGGTGGGCGTGGGGATGTTTTGCACTTGCAGCGGTGCGGGCGGTGGAATGTTGAGCGTGTTAAGGGGCTCTGGCTGGGGAATGTTTTGTACCTAAGGATATTAAAAAAGTTCCTTTTAAGATAAAAAGATAACACAGTGAAGCAAAAAGAATTACATCACAATATTTAAATACTATTTGTTTAGTATTATGTGAAATTATTATTAAATAATATAACGTATATATTAAATAGTATAACGCATGTTCAGCTGGAATAGTCAGTTATATGACTTTTTATATTTTGTTACGAATTATTACATTTTTAAAATTATTATAATTTAATTTTTTTTATTAAATTATTATATTTTTAAAATGTAATATACAGGGTCCGGCATTAGTGCGTCGGCCATCTGTACTCCTAGAATAAAAAAATTTGAGAATTTTATTTCAGTGTAAACCTAAAGTATGTACTGCTCAAAAAAGTGAGCAGATTGGTATGTTTTTTTTTTAAATGGAACACTCTGTATAATATTGCGTTTTTGGCTTCCTTTCAGATCACTTTCCATAATCCTAAGATATGAGTAAATATATTTCGATAATTTCAGAGATATTAATAAATAAATAAAAAAATATTATTTTTCAACAAGTATCGTAATCTTAAATCATACAGGGTGTTCAAAATTCTACGCCAAACTTTCTAAAATGCAAAATAATTTGTCTTCGTTTTTTTTAATGGAACACCCAGATTATTTTTTTTATTAGATGGAGAGTTAAAAACAAACATTTTTCGTATTTATGGTATTTCAAAATTGTTAATGGTTTCGCAGATACACGCAGTATTATTTTATATGGCTCTTTCAACGGTAAAATACGAGAGAAAAATCACTGACTAGCTTTGTTAAAAACTTACTGTGGAAAATGCCATATGAAATATAAAACCGCGAATATCTGCAAAACTGCCTAAACATTTTTAAATACGCTAAATACAAAAAAATGTTTGTATTTTAATTCTCCATCTATTGAAAAAATAATAAACAGGGTGTTCCATTTAAAACAGCGAAGATTTTTTTATATTTTAGGAAGTTTGGCGTAGAATTTTGAACATCCTGTATGATTTACGATTACCATATTTATAACAAAGTAAGTACAGACCATCTAAAGTAAATACCTAATATAGTTCAGGACACTTGTATTTTTAATATTCTTTTAAGAAAGGTTGAAGCATAAATATTTTTTATTTATTTAATATCTCTGAAACTATCGAAATATTTTACTCATATCTTAGGATTATGGAAAGTAATCTGAAAGGAAGCCAAAATGTATAATAAGATATTGTAGTTTTTTGATCAAGCATGTTTTGTATGATAGTAATCAGGTAATCAATTCTTATGAGAAATTACATTTTAATTTGCTGTCAAAATTAGATCCTGATTGATGATGTTTTAAATGTTATGCCTACAAAAACCTATTGTTTGAATAAAGTAGCAAAATAATTAAAATAAAGATAAGTGAAAATAAGGCACCCTTTATATTTCACCAGTTTTTTCACATTGATCCGTATCTTTATAGTTAGAATTCTTACCATGCGCAGTTGGGAAAAAATATACTGTGATCAAACAAATAGCATGTTTATGACCAAATTATAACAACCATATACAGGGTGTCCCAGGCTGAGCGTGCATTAGAAGTTTCTAGAGAACTACAATATCTAGATTGGAGATTTTTTGCACATTATCACTGTTTCACAACGAGATCTATATATTTAAAATATTTTCAATATGGAAATATATTCAACCGGAAATACCGGAAGTTGACAGCGACTTTCTTATTTTAAAGGGCTACCCCCATTTTTTATTATGTATTATGTACTTAAATTCTCTGTAAAATTTCATAAATTTTGATATCAAACATTCTATACCTAACATTAACCGTTATTGAGAAAAAGAATATTTAAAATTTTTGGAGGAAAGAAACTGTCTGTCAAAAAAATCTGTATAGCCTAAACGACAAATTTGGTCACAGCCACTGTGACATAAAGAGAAGACATGTGGCTCTATAAAAATGTCATATAATATTGGCCGTAGCTGTGAGCGATTAAGAAATTATCATAAATCATTTTTTTCAAATGGAAACCCACCTTTTTTTATTTCACTAGTGAAAAGGATTTCTAATTCGTTACTTTTTGACTATACATGTTCCTATACCTAAAATAAATCGTTTTTAAGTTATTTTAGATTTAGTTTTAAAGCGTAATTTTTTCTTGATTTTATCTAGCTTCCTTTGACATTAAGTGTCAAACCATCAGACAATTTATTTCCTTCTGTCAAAAAAAAAAAAAAATAATTATGTGAATTTCGTATATTATAAATACTGGTGCTAAAACTTTATAAGGTGTATTTATAAAAATATATCTCGTATTTTAGTGATATCTAATGGCAATATGACATGACTAGATATAGTTTTGCCGCCCCAGTGTGGCACTTCGCAATATCAAAGGGATATATAAGGCAAAAACTTAAAGCTATACACCGTAAACTGAACCTCAAGATCTGCAGTGCATATAGAACCGTCTCCGCTGAAGCATTAAATGTCATATCCGGGGTGCCGCCTATTCACCTACTTGTAGAGGAGAGAAGAGAGAGAGATACAAAGGGACATCAAAACTGGAGGCAAGAAGCATACTGATGATTGAATGGCAAAAGGAGTGGGATCTAGATAGATATGGTAGATGGACACATGATCTCATACCAGACATTAATACCTGGTTAGACAGAAGCTTTGGAGAGACGGACTACTTCCTAACTCAGGCATTGACAGGGCACGGATGCTTTAACAACTATTTGCATAAAGGGAGAGATCCACCTCAAATTTGTGTATGTATTGCAAGGAAGTTGACAGTGTCGACACACACTATTCCTCTGCAGTGAATGGAAGCAGTTTAGAGAGTCATTCCAACGGGACAGTGGTGGACAAGTCTTTAATGCCAAAATATGAAGCAAGGGCTACTAAGTGGTGAAACATCATGGAAAATTACATATAGATGCATTCGAGAAATAATAGAAACCAAAGGAAATAGAATGCGGGGCCTAACCGCATAGACAGCCTTCCAGCTGAAGTAATGCGCAAGCGGTTTCCAGCTGGATAGAGCGATGGAATGCGAGGAGGGTTTTTAGTCGGTAGGAATCCGACACTACCCAACGGTGTCTTATGCAAGATTTTCCCCTCCTCCTCAAAAAAAAAAAAAAAAAAAAAAAGAGATATAGTTTTACATTGCTTGACGTTTAATGTCATAGGCTAATGGTTAAGAACCAGAAAAATATACGCTTTAAAATTAAATCCTAAATATCTTAAAAACGTATAATAACTCAAAAAGTTACAAATTAAAAAACCTTTTCACTAGTGAAATAAAAAAAGGGGATTTCCATTTGAAAAAAATGATTTATGATAATTTTTTAATTGCTCAATTTCATCACAGCTACGGCCAATATTATATGACATTCGAACAATTGAATTTTTGAAATAGATAGCCACATGTCTTCTCTTTATGCCACAATGGTTGTGGTAATCAACTTCCGGTATTTCCGGAAGTGCCGCCATATTGAAAATATTTTTAATCGATAGATCTTGTTGTGAAACAGTAATGTGCAAAAAATCTCCGATCTTGATATTGTAGTTCTCTAGAAACTTCTAATGCACGCTCAGCCACCCCTGTATATCTAGCTTAAATAAACATTTTACATATAACACTGTTTTTATTTTAATAGACATCATTGATATAGATACACATTAAAATAAAGTCACCTGTATAGGATTGGGTGGTGGAATTGAAGTCAGTTCAACAGTTGGAATTACTGATGCTCTACCAATTGTATTCTGTCCAGTACATGAGTTCTGTGCAGTAATAACAGGTGGTGGCAAAGTAACTGTAGTAATGATTCCTGCTGGCGCTGATACCAAAACATTTTGGGTCTAATTTAAAAAATAAAATAAAAAAAGTAAAATAAGTTTTTAATTATACTAAATTACCTGAGGTGTAGTGAGTACTATTTGAGCTTGGGGTATAATCTGTGGAGGTGGGATATTCATTAAAATTTGTGGTGGAGCTTGAACAATCTGTTCTGCAGCAACATTCGTTGTAAACAATGAATTTGGTGGTGCTAAAGTTTGTGCTATAACAGACTGCACTGGTTGCAATGCAGAAATTCCACTTGTTACTAGAGAAATATATTGCTATTAAATAGAGTTTTTAAAATTAGTATTATTAGAAAAATACTTACAGTTTGGTATTGTTTCAGATACCTGCACCAAATTTTGAGATGGATTTGGAGCAATACCCACAGGCTGTTGAATTACAGACTGTAAATTTGGAGTTATATGTGTAACTGTGGCTGTAACAAGCTGAGGTGTAACAGAAGCCAATGCTTGGTTATTTTGCTGTGGTAAAGTATTAATTGGTGCCGAAGCTGGAAAACTTAAGGTCTGTTGCAGTACTTTTTCAGCTGGAAGTGAAGCAGGACCAGAAATTACATTACTAATTGACTGGGGAAGTGTACTAGGATGTGGTCCTAATAGAGAGGGACTAGGAGTTTCAAAACCTTGTGAGCTTTGGATTGGTTGACTAAACTGACTTGTTGATGAAATTGTATTGGCATTTGAAAATGAAGTATTGATAGTAATTTTTTGGTGTTCAAAAGTTCTATCAGCTGAAAAACGACTTCTCTTTTGGCGATCTAATGGTGAAGGAGAACGACCTCTATTTATCCGGGTACTTCTTTCATTACTAAAATTTGTAATAATATAATAAAAATATAAAACAAAATAAAAATTATACCCTCTGTCCCTATCTTTTTCTCTCTCTCGCTCCCTTTCTTTATCTTTGAATTTATTGAAAGCTTTGAATTTTGACTCCGTCTTTTTATCTTTTAGCTGTTTAAATTGATCTAAGAAAGAACCATCGTTTGAAAACACATTTATATTAGGCTTGAAAGAGTCCTGAGTATCTCTTTTTAATCTAAAAATAAATAAATTTTTAAAATCTTCATGCAGACATACTAATGCAAATGAAAATATTCATACAATTTATCATCATGGGATTTCTCCTGAACCGTAACATCCTTTTCTTTAAGTCCTTGAGTACCTTCTCTCCTTTTTGCATCTATTTTTTCTTGAATTTCCCGTTTTTTCTGTTCTATGAGCTTCTCTTGAAATGACATTTGAGTAAATCGGTCATTTCTAGTCATCTTGTTTTGATTAGTATCGAACGGTCGTTTCGACATCTTTTCTTCTTTCGGAATATCCTCCTTAAGTTGAGATAATTCTTATAAACTTCTTATAGCTTATTTACTATCATTTATATAATAAATAGCAAACTAAAAGAACTGTCTCAAAACAATCATCACTCATCACAAATGACAAATGACTCACCACCATCAGACAACTGTCAAATCAAAACTGCCAAACTGCCAAAACAATCAAATGTCAACGTTTAAAATGTATGATGAATCCTTGATGAATTATCAAGATGAATTATATATGAAACTGAATAATTTGTGCAATACTTTATTTTTTAATAAAAACCAATTAATTTATTTTTTTTTGGGAGGAGAATACATTCTACTTTAATTTCGTTCCTTATTTAACTTATAGAATAAGTTTTCTATATATTCTCTTGAATGATTTTATATTTTAGTATTTAGTATTCGACAATCATTTGCAAAATTTTCCTAGTGACTTTTATTTTTGACACCAAATTCCTTTTTTGGTGCCTTTTTGATGGCCGAAGAGTTTTAGTTTTTAGAAAACTAAAAACCACAATTATCTGCATAATCTTTGCAGTTATTTTTAAAATAAGTGAAAATATAAAATTCTAAGATCATGGCGGAAAAGGTTTGTAAGATATTAATGTATAATAATAAGTGGAATTTGCAAAACAATGATTTCTAGGTTATTTACTTATGTCCGTTTCTAAATATATTTTTATTTTTTAGGGCGAAGAACCAGTGAAGAAGAAGAGGACTTTCAAAAAATTCACTTACAGAGGTGTTGATCTGGATCAACTCCTTGATATGCCAAAGTAGGTTTATATAAAATTATGTTTGTATCGTATCTGTTATTTGAACTTTCTTATTTCAGTGAACAGTTGATGGAATTAATGCACTGTAGAGCCAGAAGGCGTTTTAGCCGAGGCCTGAAGCGTAAACCTATGGCTTTAGTCAAGAAACTTCGCAAAGCGAAAAAAGAAGCACCTCCACTAGAAAAACCAGAGACTGTGAAAACCCATCTTCGTAACATGATTATTGTTCCAGAAATGGTGGGATCAATTGTCGGTGTTTACAACGGCAAAGTTTTTACACAGGTTGAAATCAAACCTGAAATGATTGGACATTACTTAGGTGAATTTTCTTTGACTTACAAACCTGTAAAGCACGGTAGGCCTGGTATCGGTGCTACCCACAGTTCTAGATTCATCCCTCTCAAGTAAATTGGTATTTCTATATATTGTGTAATTTAATATAGGATGTATTGAAATAAACGTTTATATTTGAGGGAACTATTTGCATTTTTAATTAGTATGATCCTAGGTAAAGTAGAAATATTTTATAATTAAAATACTAACCATTTATCTGTATATCTCTTTTTCACAACTTGAATGAAAGTTTTTTTATAATAGAGATTACAGTTTATTATTAAAACAAGAGCTGTAACATTAAATTTATATATTTTTGAATATAGCCTAAATATATACACAAAACTTACATTAATTTTCTTAAATATATCATATCAAGAGAAAAAACGAGGTGATTTTTGAAGGTATCGACAAGATCCATATAATTTAACTGGTTTTTTCAAGCTTCATTACAAAGTTGTAAAATTATTTGGTTTCAGTACAAAAATTAGAGACTTTATTAGATGTCACACAATATTACACGGGTTAAGTTACCAACTGTAATTCCTATATGAAAGAAAATTATCTCCAAAGTGACAATTTTCGACCACTGGGTATTTTTCCTTCGCTATCTATAAGACCTGCTTGAATATATTCTAAAGAAGGCATTTTTCTCAGATCTCCCCTAGCTGCAACACTGGGTTGTGACATTAAGAGCCTTTTTGCGACTTGCACTATGTCATCTTTGGTTATTCTTTCTAAAAGTGGAGATGCTTTTTTATATTATTAATCAGAAAAAAAAACAATGTAATTTACCTATTTCTTTTATAAAGTACTCGGGACGTTTCCTATGGCCCATCGCTAATACTTGTCTACCAATATCTTCAAACATAACCGGCCTACTTTCTAGATTCATCAGTAACATTGATTGTAATTGTGTCTTTGCTCTCTAAAATATTAATATCAAGATTAACAAAAAAAATTAGAGGTATAATTAAAATAATAACCCTTAGTTCTTGGTCTCCCACTTCTCCAGCCATATTCACCATTTCTTTTACTATAACTTCGACCATATCACGCACATAGTTTGGCGGAGCGCTAGCATGTATACAAAACAGGCCAGTATCAATGTAAGCATGATTGTATGCTGTTGCACTATACATCCAGTGATATCTATAAAAAAATAATGTAGAACGAAAAATATGCTAACCTGAACTACAATTAATTTACCTGTTTAACACGTTGGTGTATAATCTTGTATACATTCCTTTACCTGGTCCACCTGCTGAGAAAGACCCTCCACCACCCATCATTGTATTTAATACACACAGTGCAATAAAATCTTTGTCCTGATGAGAACAACTTTCTAATCCAATCATAATATGGGATAAAACTGGGAGACCAGCTGATGCAAATTGGGGAATGTCACATTCCTCCTAAAAAACATTAATTCTTACATATCTTTACTAAAAAAAGTTATAGTACATACCTGTTCTATTCCACCTGTATATTGAGCAATGCTCTTATCAATCCCAGAAATTTGTTTCCTTAAAATAACGTTCTCCATATCCCAGAGAGGTTTAACATCAACAAAATATTTCTGAACTGCCTCAACTAATCTGTTATGTTCTACTCCGACTCCGGCCACTACCATTCGTTTTGGGCTGTAATGCTGGCTTAAATAACTAAATAATGTTTCTCGGTCAATTTTGTCCAAGTTTTGTGGTGGACATAATTTAGGGAGGCCCAGAGTATTATCTCGATATGCAGCCTAAATAGTAACATAATTTAAACTTAAACCACAAAAAAAAAGAAATTGAACTCCACTCACAGCATGAATCATGTCCATCAATATTGTTTCTTGCTCAGGTCTCATAAGTAACGTTTCTAATTCAAATCTAATACCTTGTTTTGCAGACTCAATTTCTTCAGGAGTTATTTGAGGCCTTAAAGTAGCTTCAGCCAAAAGCTGAATAACATCATTTAAACCTAAAATCAAAATTTTGCTCTATTTTTATTAAAGCATATTAAGTAAATTTTCACCTGTTGTGTATGCAGAGGCTGCATAAATAAAAGTATCGCGAGATGCTTGGCTATCACAGATACCTCCATGTTTCTCTAATTTGTTTATCATTTCATCACGATCTGGGTAAAATTTGGTAGACTAAAAAGTTTCTAGACTTATCAATATGTATCTTTAGATTAATATACCTTACGTTAAAAGCTAATTTTTCTAAAAAGTGTGAAATGCCACTAGGGTATGCAACTTCATATCGAGATCCAGAGTCAATAACAACTCCTACTGTGCAGAATTCTCCAAACCTATTTTCGGATGCAACTCTTAAGCCATTTGATAATGTGGTAACCTAGAGAGGAATCTTACTTATAAACATTATCTTTATGTTAGTTAAATAGTATACTTCTGTCTGTTGATTATCTTCTCTATAATTGGAGTAAATAGCCTTTGGAAGACCTTTGACAGGTTCACTCATAGGAGGCATATTAGTAACTTTCTCCTTCGGCCTTTCACTTAAGTTATCCCATTCTGTTGACGAACAACGCTTTACTAATTGTCCTGGACTTCTCCAAAATCTTTAGAAAAAATCATCAAAAATGAGTAAAATTGCGCAAACAGTAGGAGGTAAGGTTAAGTCGATTGTACTTACTTGTTTTTATTTTGGAAAACCTTGCTTGTGAAAGATTTCGTGGCTTGTAGAGCCATTTGGGATGATGATTTCGAACTTTGTTGATGGTATATTGGTCAAATGTTCGAGAATTTTGACGTGTGCTTTCCAAAAATTTTCAAATTTGATATGTTTTGGACTTTCCTTTGGACATTGTAATGAATTGGGTAGTCAGAAGATGGCGCTGGGGAAAAAGTGTGCTTTATAGTTAACTTTATAGATGGCAGATTTGGAAAAAAAATTATGTAAATTTCTTGGGTAATTTTAATGTAGGGTCTTTTTTAATAAAAATATTTTCAGGATTTTCCTAAACATTAAAATACTTTGGAAAATTTTGGGGGTCAAGTTTCGTTTAGCCGAAATCTGTTAAAAAAGAAAAAAACAATTTTTTGTCATTTAGGTACCTCAGGGAGTACATTACTGGAAAAAATTTGCAGCGGAAATGCGTCACCATTTTTTGAATGCGGTTTAAAAGAAACGAAAAGACATACATGAAAAATTAATGTTATTCCATATGTTAGACGTCTTTGTAAATACGAATACGAAAATGAACTTCCGCGGAAATGCGATGTTGCCATTTTTTTGAATAGAGTTTAGAAGTAACGAAATGAGATATATAAAAAATTAACATTATTTTATAATGTAGACTTATTTTTAAGCACCGATACAAAAATGAAAATCCGCGGAAATGCCTTTTTTCACCACTATGCAGTGATCTTCCCGACCTTTGACACAGATCAATGAATAATATCTATTCTTATCAACTTAATATCGCTATGGTCAATAAATGCGAAAATTTAAAAAAAATTGTCAATAAAGCATAAAATCGACAACTAAACCAAACCAAACCCTAAAAAACAACCAAATCAAACCAAGCCAACTAAACCCACTACAACCAAATCCAATAAAAACAACCAAACCAAACCAAACCGAAAGTATGAAAAAAAGTAGAGAATACTATGGAAAACTTCGAAATATTGAAGATTTTCCATTACACCGCCCTTATGATACGACATTTCCGCGGCAATAGTTATATAGAAAAGTTATAGCAAATTATTAATCAAACAAAAATATGTAGTTTTTATCTTCCTATCACATTTCGGCACTTCTAAACCCGGAAAAATCAATGAAAATTATTGTGATAAAAATATATTTTTGAATAAAAATTAGTTCACATCGTTGAATTAAATGTTTTTACGTCATTCTATAATGAAAAAACTTTTAAAAATACCGTAAAGTTTCAAATTTTAGTTAATAATAGAAAAATTAAAAATTCGAGTTTTCTCAAAAACGAAGAATTTCCACGGCAAAAATCAAATTATGTAGTGCTAGTTTCTTGTATAGAATCATCCTATAAACCGATATTCTATGTAACTGATTTCGGCTAAACGAAACTTGAGCCAATTTTGGGAGCATATGTATATTAATTTAGTGCATTTTTGAAAATATATTGAGTTCTACAAGGCGTCTCCAAAAAGTTACACATTAAGGATGTGTTTTTCTAATAGAACACCCTATATATTAATCGATTTTCGGATTCTAGGAAAAAAATAAAGCGAGTTTCTAAGTTGAAACATGTGACATGTGACTAAAGTGTAAGGTTTTTGACGTGGTATTTAACATTTTCTAAAAATGAAGAATATAAATTTTAAATTTCAATAAAAGCTACCTAAACTGAAATTTATCCGGTTTTACCTAATATCACAAAATATATACGCAATGTACCGTATGATCGAATAAAAACGGCGTCAGCGATGGCTATGGAATGACGATCAATGACATTTCTCATATAAATTTACATATAAAATGTCAGCGATCTTTATTTCATAGCCATCGTTGACGCCGTTTTTATTCGATCATACGGTATATTCTGTGCTAATATGTAGTTAAACTAACTTACTACAAGACCACAAAACAGAACTAAACTCAGAAAATGAACATAAACGGACTTTGTATTAGCGGTACATTTTTTATAGACAGTTTAACTTATTTATTTCCTAATTATACGCTAAATTTCTTTACATAAATCATACTATTTACATAATAATCTGAACCAGTATTAAGGATACGAACAAGTAGAAATTGATCATTTCTTATTAGTTATATACAGGGTGCGTCTGAAAAAAACACTATCGAATAAAGTAAAAAAATACCGAGGGTGCCATTTAAGAATCAAAAGATGTAATCATTTTCTGTGGAACAGAAAGTCGCCGAAAACAATTGAATACGTCAATCAATCCTAATTTATGTCATATACTAACATACCAATAAATCTCGTTTTTTTTATCTGAAAAAAATAAAAAAGTTATAGGGGTGAGCCACTTTTGAGACGCACCCGGTATATTATTGATATGGTACATTTATTTTTTGTTCCCTCTCTATTTACTCCCTAATTAAGATAAATGGTTGCCTGTCAATATCTAGTGATTAATAAAACTCTGAACATTCTGATTTTGATTAATTCGTATAATTTTTGTACTTATTTTTCAAGAAGATTAACATTTTTTTAAACCTTTTACGCTGGAAGCTTGTAGCAAGAGATAATCTGATTTTGTAGGGAAAAGGTTAAAAAGTAATTAACGACTAAACTTTTTTTACTTCAACAGACTTTAGCTTTTAAATGATTAATTGATATTTAGCGAAATAGGAGAAAACTAAATCAGCAAAGAAAGTAAAGAAATAAAAAAGGTAAGCTTTTAGTAATTTCTACAAGAAGAGAGAACAAATTATGAAATTGGTTAGAAAACAAAGTAGATTCAAACAAAAGGTAATTTTTGATTTTCTGTTTTATACTGGTTTAGATCATACTCAGTGAAAACTATTTCAAAAATACTATCATATTTTTCTAAGTGTTTTTTGCTATTATTTTCAGCTTGGTAATCTTCACTGTTTTTGAGTATCAGGGATAGTCTCAGAATGTTACTGTAACTTTTTCTGTTCTATTTCTATTTAAGACTAAATAATCTAGTTTACACGTACATAGATCATAAGTTAGAGGGACCCGCAGAGCCTGGGGTTCGGCTAGCAAGTGCCAACCAGAATATATGGCCAGTCCGACTCTGCATATTATTATGATCGTAAGTTTACAGGCTGGTTATAAATAGGCTGTGGTCACAAATGGAAGTTTTTTGATACACTTGTATTATACTCCGTAAACATATACCGGATGCGTCGCAAAAGTGGCTCACACCTATAACTTTTTTATTTTCTCAGATACATAAACGAGATTTTGTTTGTTAGAGTATGATATTAATTAGGATTGATTGACGTATTCAATTGTTTTTGGTTACTTCCTGTTTCACCGGAAATGACTACAACTTTTGATTTTTAAATGGCACTCTCGATATATTTTTACTTTATTCGATAGAAAATGACACACTTTTGACATTTTCGATTAAAAATCCAAAAATGACAAAGTTTATGTTTTGTGCAAAGTTCTGTCAGGTTCAAACGTCGCCGTATTTCCTACAAAGTTTTGTGAAAAGATGAGTGATAATGACGAGTCTTTGGATATTCAACAAGCTGCTGAAACTGCGCTATCCACGTTAGTGCCCGAGAAGTCGAAAAACTTATACGAGACTACCTACAACAAGTTTGAAACCTGGGTCAAAGAAAAACATGTTGAGAATTTCACAGAAAAAGTATTGCTAGCATATTTCCTGAAGTTATCCACTATCTTAAAGCCGTCAACTCTGAGGGACCAATAGATGGTATCAATTTCTTACATGTATTTTGTAAGTACGCCAAACTTCGACCTTTCAATGTGACACATCAGCGATTTTTCTTGACGTATCGAAAAAATCAATGCCGTACCCTGCCAGTTAGAATCAATACAATTGGAGGTATGCCAAAAAAGATAGCGGAATTTCTTGGATTCTCTAACGCCATTGAATACACTGGTCATTGTTTCCCAAGAACGGTAAACTAATAGGATTGCTCATACTCATAAGACGTACGTTCGCCTCTTCCCATAGATAAATGAAACAAGTTTAGATTGGAAAGTGCCCATAAGGACAATGTAAACACTATTTGGCGCTATTCTTGCAACGGTCGCGACCCAAAACTTTTGAAAATTTCGGAGCGGTACGGCTTTTTCCGGAATTATATCGCCAAATATTTTTTATTCAAATTTATTATTATTTTCGTTTAATTTTATAAATTAAAGACAGTGTGTTGCATACAAGAAACTTTATTTTATATAAGGACGCATGTATGAAATACCTATGAAACATTGGAAACCGACGCGACGTTATGCCACGATCCACGATGGTTTTTGCAGTTCACAGCGTTCACAGTTCACAGCACAGCTTTTTAAGTTTTTAATACCACTTTTTCACAATTATCACCGGTTGGAGTAAATAAAACTTGAATTAAACTCACAAGATAGCAATAATTACTTTGAAAATGGACGCTATAAACACTTTTCGGAATTTTTTTAATGAGAGCGGTTTAGATTTTGAAAGATTATGATTTTTGAAGATTCTGACTTTGACAAGAGAAAATTATTTTTGTTTTTGTTTACTGTTGTTCTTAGCGACCGCTATAGCAGTGCCAGATCGCGTATAACGGTCGCGACCCAAAATAATTTCGCGATCCAAAATTTTTTCGGGCTTTCCAATCTAAACTTGTTGCATTTATCTATGCCTCTTCCCGCGCTTCAGCTGACAGTTGAGACGTCATTGTAGTCCTTGTCATGATAGTATGTATTATTAGTTGCCTATGGTAAACTTATAAAAATAACAACTGAGAAATTTTGAGTTAATTATTTTGTCAATTTTAAATGTGAAAAAGGTGTTATTAAAGTATTTAGAGCTATAAAGTGTATAAATACGTTCATTTTGTGTTGTGGATTGTGACAAAGTGCTTACAAGTGCCTACGATATTGTTTATTAATTATTTTAAAGCAAAATATGGAAGTATATACTCTAAAAAGAATGCCTGCAAAAGGTGATGCTCTGTTCTTAAAACTGTTGTTCTTAAAAATGCATTATCCGAGTATTTAATAGGATTTATACCGTTAATTTTCTATACTGCATACATATAAGGTGTTTAAATAAATAAACTAAATAATGAACGTTTTGCATCTGGCAATCAATAATGCACGCGTGTATATTATTGGTTGCCCGATAAGGACTAATAACCATGACAAGGACTACAATGACGTCACAAA